AGAGGCTGAGAGAGGACACAGCTGGGATGGCTGACTCACACTGACAAAAGGGATGTTCCATACCATATAATGTCATGCTCGGCAATAAAACTGGAAGTACTTTCTGAAGGAGCTGTTGTTCAGACACTGGCTTGGTAGCAGTATGCTGGTGGGGGGGGGTGGTCAGTGACTGCTTCTGCGTCACTTGCTTTTGCTTTTTACTTTCTTCTTCCTCTATTTAGCTGTTTTTAACTCCACCCATGAGAGTTTTTATCTCTTTACACACCTGGTTCTCTCCCCCATCCTTCTGGGGGTGGGAAGCGAATGAGAAGCTTGTGGGTGCTTCATTGCTGGCTGACATCAACTCAGGAAAGCAGTAATACAGCTTCGTAAGTGCATATAAAAGCACACAAAGCATCATGCATGTCTCAACCCCTGGGGTATGCCACCAGTGACTGCTCTGCGGCTGAGCTTTGTGCTGCTGGTCACAATCCTTTCACGCCAGATGTTCAGCCAGTTTTCAGCCCACCTCAGTGCCAACCCATTTAGCTCATACTTTATTGCTTTATCTATGAGGATGTTGTGAGAGAATGCCCTATTAAGTCTATATAAACATCCACTGTTTCTCCTCAACCATGCAGACAATCCTCTCATCACAGAAAGCTATCAGGTCGGTTAAATAGTATTTCAGTTTCATTAGTCTGTGCTGACAAATCCCAAGTGTCCTTTATCCACCCTGAGTTTGAGTTCATAGTTATTTATCCCTAAGCAAGACTGAAAAGGATTTTAGTCTTGACAAGCAACAAAAGCTCTGAGGGAAAGGGCAGATCTGTGAGACATCAGCACAGGGATGTTTGCCGGGCTCATGGGTGAAATCACTGAGAGGTCACGGTAAAACAGGTGAGCAAGGCTGAGCAGATAATGACTTTAAAACTGGAACAGGCCAGGAAGCTCTTCCAAGAGCAGGCAGAAGGAAAGGTGAGAGAATTATGAGAATGAGGAAAAGGTAGCGTCCTGCAGGCCAAACTTCTAGAGCTTGAAAAATGACAGTGAAAAGAGAAGGTCACCTGAAAAAGATACTCTGCACATTAATTCAATTAGGTGTTTTTTTTATAAACCACTTTGGCATAAAGATTCCTTGGAGCTCTTTTACTGCCACCTCAGACTCCAGACAGCAATAGGCTCTGTATCTGAAAGGTTTGGTCCTGTTCACAGAAACAGCACAGGTCCTGAAGTTCTCCATGAACACAAGGGGCCTACCTGAAGTGAGTTCATCACATAGGACTATTTATACTACTTCTGTTAAAGATAACAGCAAAGGTCCAATAACTTCATGTTGAATAAAACAGTATCTTCTAAAATGAGGAGACCCCTAGTTGGGAAAGTCCCAGACAATGATGTGCAGGGTGATGGTCAGCAGTCTGATGACGGAAACCACCACTGCAACCGCTTCAGATTATGAGCTTTAAAACACAGATGAGGAGCCTCTAAAATGTGCTGAGGGTGGGCAGTTGTCAACAGTCTACAGAAACCGTGATTTACCACAGGTAGCTGTATTGTTAAACAAGCAAATACTAGACACATATATTAATAAAAGACATCTTTAACAGAATTCAAAAATAGCTATTGCAAACTTTATTGGAAGAAAAATAAACCAATGACAATCTTCCAAAATCCTGTGAAACAGTTTAGTTCCTTAACATTTATTACTTGAAAAGACAGAAGCAACTTGTATAGCTGGCATGTTAGTTCACCTCTGTTTGCTCAAAACAGCTCATAAAAGCATTCTTTTTCTACCATTTCTGATTTTATCAAAAGTGGAAATGCATATGATTATCCTCAACTAGATCAAAGTGAGTATATGACAACATTTCAAGGCAGGCAAGAACTCTAATTCAAATTGCTTAAGGCCTGACATGGAAAAGAAGAGATGCAATAGCCAGTAAAATAGCTAATGTATGGTACATTACACCTGCTTATATGATGCTTCCTTTGAGCCAGTTTTTTTTATATTTTCTTCTTCATATTACTATCCCACCCAACCTAACATTACTAAACACCACAACAAAAATATCGATTAATAATATGACATCATAAGATCTGAGCAAGGCCAATGAAGTTTTTGGGTAACTGCTGAAAATACAGAATCAAAATGTACGATTTGAAATTAAAGAGAATTCTTAATGCTGGAGTTGGAGTGACTCAAATGCAGCACATAAGCAATCAATGCTCACTCACATCTGAAAATAATGAGCTATCCATTGGAAAAAAAACAACCATCACTGGTTTGATGTAATACAGCACACTGCCAGACTTTATTGCACAGAATGGCATTAGTGCAATGATATTTCTAAGAGGCACACAAAAATACAATAAACAGAATATGAAATAACACTGCAGTCGAATATTCTGACATGGGGAAAAGGAGAAACTAATAAAACTCAGAAGACCGGATCACTGAACTGCTGTTATATTTTATGGATAAATTACTAGTGAAAACATTTAATTTCAAAATTTTCTATGTATTTAGAGGACTAAACCCATGAAGACTGTTCACTTAATAAAGATTTATAGTAGAAGAAAGGCTGTAATAGAAATATTGTTGCCCATTAGAATTAAAATTAAATACTCCTTAGGGTTTGAGATATAACATTAATGCCATTGGGCACCAGCTGTTTTCCAAATATGTATAGAAATTCTTCCCAACAGTTTGAAAAACAGAACATCACACAATGCTGTTAGTTTGGGCAGTTTGTGAAAATCTTGCATGTTTTTAATGGCAATGTAGTAGATTGGAGCCTACATATATATATATGCTTTCTACAGGAATCTGCTTAAACCAAACAGGACCTTGGCTCTTCTGTTTCTCCAGCACTAGTGTGGCCACTTTCCCCTTTCATCACATGCCACTGATGTGCACAACCCATGAGCTCCTGCTTGTGAAGTACTTGGGAGAATGCCAGCGTCACTCTAGGAACCCAATCAGCCATCGAGCTGGCCCAGCATGCAGACTCCAAAGTGCTGTAAACCTGTTAGGTAGCACTCATTCCGTGTTCTGTACAACAGCATTTGGTATGGAAGGTTTCTAGATGACCCCCACAGTGAAACCTGTGGAAAAAACCTCTGCTAAGATCATGGATGGCAGCAAATGCAGAAGCTGGGGGAGGTCCTTCAAAATCCATTATGGTTTTGTTTTAAACTCAATGCTAAATCATAAAATCACAGAATTACATAACAGTTTGGGTTGGAAGGGACCTTTAAAGGTCACCTAGTCCAACCCTCCTGCCATGAGCTGGGACATCTTCCACCAGATCAGGTTGCTAATAGCCCCGTCCAACCTGGCCTTGAATGTCTCCAGAAACGAAGCAGCCACTGCTGCTCTGGGCAACACGTTCTGGTGTTTCACCACCCTCATCATAAAAGATGTGTTTCTTATGTCTATACATGAATGCTAAACTGTCTTTGCATCAAACTAGCTAAAAAGTGATATGTAAGGTACCTGATGAATAACAGCAAAGTAAAAGCAGAAGAAATCCATATGCGGTGGATGTATGCATGCAGTCTGTCCCCATATAAACCCTTCTCAGGAAAGCCTTTGACTCAGTTGAAGGCCAGAGCTCTATAATCAGGTCACATCTAGTAAAAATGGTACAAGTGCTGAACCTGGAGCTTTTAAAACTGGTTGGGGTCTAGTTTATAGAAGTAAGGAAACTGAGTCCAACAGCACTTTTGCATCTTAGGATCAAAGAATCATAGAATAGTTAGGGTTGGAAAGGACCTTAAGATCATCTAGTTCCAACCCCCTGCCATGGGCAGGAACACCTCACACTAAACCATGTCTCCCAAGGCTCTCTCCAACCTGGCCTTGAACACCGCCAGGGATGGAGCATTCACACCTTCTTTGGGCAACCCATTCCAGTGCCTCACCACCCTTACAGTAAAGAATTTCCTCCTTATATACAATCTAAACTTCCCTCCTTAAGTTTTAACCCGTTACCTCTTGTCCTGTCACTACGGTTCCTAACGAAGAGTCCCTTTCCAGCATCCCTGTAGCCCCCCTTCAGATACTGGAAGGCTGCTATGAGGTCTCCATGCAGCCTTCTCTTCTCCAGGCTGAACAGCCCCAACTTTCTCAGCCTGTCTTCATACAGGACGTGCTCCAGTTCCTTGATCATCCTCGTGGCCCTCCTCTGGACTTGTCCCAACAGTTCCAAGTCCTTTTTATGTTGAGGACACCAGAACTGTATACAATACTCCAGGTGAGGTCTCACAATTTATGATATAAATAAATATTTCTTACTGATTTAACAACATATTAATGGCACTGTGCAGACCATGTCCATTGACAGCATGTGGATGATAGGGGCATGGGGTGCAACAGAGAATACTCAGATTTCAAAGAAACAGCAACCACAGAAATATTTAGGCAACTCAACATGAAGGCTCTATCACTTTTCCTGACTGCTTTTAGCACCACTCCTTAAAGCTCCTTGAAGACCTTGCTCCTAAAGAGTTCCTCCATAATTTCTGCTAACAGATTTTCTAGTAACTTCAGTGGGTGCATGGCCTCTCTAACACCAAAAATAAATTTTACAGAGCAATGGGAAAAATATATATGCTGAGCTTTTCTCTAAAGATTCCTATATAATGATGAAGAAACAAAAAAAGCCATATTCCCTTTCCTTGGTTCTATTCAGTGCCAACACACAATACAATATTTGTCCTCTGCAACTCATTCGAAGCACTAGCCACAACTGCAAAATGACTGAAGGCATCAGTATAGGAATGTGAAAGGCCACGTGGTGTAAACATTTATTTAAAGTCATACAATGTAGAACTGTTCCTTAGAAATAGCTTGGTACTGAGGCAGATTTTTGATGTCTGTAATAATATGCCTGCTTTATAGAAAAAGGTAAAATAAAAGAGGATATTTGTTCACTGACTCCAACAATTTACATGACATGGTGCATTATGACTGATGCTTCTCAGCAGCGCGTGTGAGGCAGCCGAAAATCATTTAAAAACATCTGTGGTTTGTCTCAAAAACAAATGTAGGGAAATACTAAGAAAAGCTCCTCTGTCTGAAATTAGGCTGAGCAGTTTAAATCCATTTTTCTAAAAGATATTCAGGAAGCTGGTATTGCCTGCAAAATAAAACTAGTTTATCCCTACTGTCTACTGCAAAGGAGCAGTTTATCTCCAGTACATCTTGTCTAGAAAATAAGCCTTTTCATCCCAAAATTAATCAGGTATTAACGTCTCTTTGAGAAGCTCTATATATAGTAAAAAACAAAAGTATGTGAGCTCTGGGTTCTTGAAATTATATTAAATGAAGGCAAATGACATGTCAAGGTGCCCAAAGGCAACAGACCTGCTTTCGTAGGTCACCAAGAAATCAAACCCACAGCACAATACATGCCAGCTCACAGTATTTTCCAGATCTTACACTTGGCACAATTCAGTCTACGCTCCCATATATGAGTAAAGGATTTGAAACACAAACATGTGTTTCAGTTTGTATCTTAGTTTCTATTTGCACTGGACCTATGTAACCAAGGCCACAACTTACAGAGGGGTCAGATCCTGCATCATGTTGACTAAGGAGTGCTTTGGATTTCACTTAGTATTACTTCATGCGGGCCAGAACAGCACAGGCACTCATGTTAATGCACTCACGTTAATCAACTATTCAAGGGACTAGACCAAAAATGCATCAAAGACAAGTAAAAAGCATCAGCTGACTATAAAGAACCAGGCCTAAGCTCTGCCAGAGAGTCAGAACAGAACCTCATATTTGTAAAAAACATTTTAAATTCTAAATACAACTAAGTAAAACAAATAACCCCACCTAAAATAGTTTTGCAGTTAAAAACCTATACCTCGGTATTAGAAGGCACTCAGTTCAGGAACTTCAGGCCTCTCCCATACTACCATGCACTAATTTCCTTTGTGAAAAAAAAGTATAGATAAGCATAAAATACAAAAATATACATTTTAAGTAGTAGCAAAATGTGGATAAAAATTAGAAAATGCTCAAGAAAAGTGACTGCCATATTATTACATGTGCACACATACACACTCCGTCTCAAAAAGGTAGGAAAGAAAGGGAATCATTAGCCTTAAAATGTCTACCTCTGTTAGTTGGCATGACAGCTATTAACTTCATTTTAGTACTAGGAATGTTATCAATCAGCTTGGTTTCCTTGTCAAAAAGAAGTAAGCATTAGCTATCACAGGCAGTGTTCCAGAATAATTAGTCAGCTGCCAGACAGGAAAGATACTTATGCACTCACTCATGACAAAAGCTCCAAACTCATGTATTTCCATATTTACAGAGACCTGTAATTCTCCCCATGTGCAAAAAGCCAGTTTGGGTGTAGAAGTGCCACTGCTCTTCACCAGCACTCTCATCCACCCCACTTCAGCAAAACACTAAAGCATACAAGGTTGTGCTTAAAATTAAACAAGTATGTCAATTCTTTTGCTGGGCTGAATGCATGTGCAGCCCATGCCTCCTAAAAACCTTCTCCACCAACCAACAAGTGGAGTTGCATGCACGGATGGCATTCAGGGCCAACCAACTGACATGGCATAGGGAGCAGTAAACAGCTGTTTAGGGTTACAGCACTTAAATCATTGACAAGATGACACTGCAAACTCAAGACATACATGATACCCCAGAGTGACATTTTTAGAAGACTTTCAAAAATCAGAAAAGGATCCAAGCAACCTTCATCCTGCTGGCCATAAATATGCCAGCAGATACCAGCATTTTCCCATGGAAACAGAATTAGGTTTGTTTCTGAATACCCTGGAAAAAAAACGAAGTCTCAAACATAGACTCCATCTTTGATACATTTACAGTAAAAGCCCTTCAGAGTAAAATGCATGAGAACATCCCGAGGCCTTATTTTCCAACATGATCAGCTTATGAGTTGGTAAAAAATCCACCCAGCTTCTCTGTAATGATAAAAAAAGACTGATAATTATCTGGGGCATTCAGCAGTTTGTGAATGCAGCACTTTTTGGCTCTTGCATCTGCTGTGAAGCCAGCTTCCTTTATTTTTCATATTATTCCCTATGAGAGCATATGGTGAAACTCAATATTCAAGTTAAGCGTCATGTCTGCAGAAGAGAACAAAGCAAGCTCTGATACTAAGCTCCCAGCACCCTGCTTACCAACAACCCAAAGGAGAAGCAAACAGTGTTTCAGATAAGCATGGTAAACTTAACATACATCCCTAAAAACAAACAAGCGCAATGGAAAGCAGGGGTAAAGGGAGTGGAAGCATGGAGCTAGGTTTGTGTTTTCTCAGACTGCTTTCTCAGTAATTCTGTGCTTCTTCAGAAAATAACTTCAGTATGAAACTAACGCTTGGAAAGTTTTTCCAGCAGACACTTAACGAAGTTTTCTGGCACAGCCAGAAATTTACTATATGGGCCAGCCCAGCTCTTCCTTAAGACAGCAGGAGTTTGGTCACTGTAATCACTAAAGATGGGCTGGTATCTGAACATAAAATTTTCTTTGGATAATTTACGGAAACCTTAGATGTGTAACATAATCTGTTTCCTTTTTACAGCACACAGCTGTACAGCAAGTTTACATGAAGGACAAACAGCAGACAGAACAAGGAGTCCAATGAAGAGTGCTGAAGCAAGGCTGCAGAACTATCTCGGTGGCAAAGACTACAATCGCTTTCACAGAAGTCACAAAAGGTTATGCTCTGCATTACTTCTGAATTGTAGCTTCTCGCCGCTCTTCTCCCTGTTCAGAAAAGTTAGTTAACATTAGTTAATGAACTCAGAACTGACCAGCAAATCAGCTTCACAAAGCAAGCATTTTAACAGATGTACTAAACTCTAATGCAGACCTCATCATACATTGCAAAATAATTCCCAGAGTGGATGTTTAAGCCTAGGCATTAATCTTTGTTCTTCTCCCAAAACACCAAAATGTTCTCAATATATTCATGCAAATGCTTAGTGAAAGACACACTTTCATAGAGTCAACCTCAGCTGTTAGACCCAATCTGTTCACAAACCTCAGTCAAACATTTTAAAACGGAATTTTCTCCTACTTACACAGCAACCCTCATGACAAAGGAAATCAGATGCTTCACCTGGCAGGTTACAGGCTATGACATTTAAGAGATAGGTCTCTCGTAACTGGTGCTTTCTCTCACTATTAGTTTTGGAAGCATTAGGTTCCTGAATCTGGGACAGCCCGCTTTACCTAGATCCTCCTGCTCCTGCGTCTTGCTCCCCCACTGCCTGAAGGGTTGCAACACAGCCTAAGAGTCTAGACGCCTGGAAAGCCGTATTCATTGCAAAAAAATCAATGCATGGTAAATGCTCACAGAACAAGCTTTTGCAAAGTTTCATTCCCATAGTGAGCTTAATTTTGGTTTGAAGGTTTTCATTCCAACTAGGGACACTGCAATTTCTCTTTTTATCACTGGTATTTTTTAACTGAAATGATATGCAGTTTCAAGATATTAAAAAAAAAAAAAAGTGTACTTTTACAAGCCAAAATGCTTCCCCAACAGTGACACCCAACTAGCTCTGAACAAAATCAGGTAAGAGAAGCAGCAGTCATTTCGATGTGCTTAGTAGCTGCACATATTAATCCTGGCAGATCTCCTTGCTGGCACTGTTGTACTGGCATCCAAGCCAGTTCTTTATACCTATGCCAGTTGTAATATCTGCCACACAGACATAACTTTTCTGGTAAATGCCAGAGCACAAGGACTCCTCAGACATCTCCTAATTCATGAATCAAACTGACACTATCACATAAAATATACACCTGCAGCTTGGGTCACCAACTGTGAAAGTGATCAAAAAGAAAGAATAGATTCAAATAAAAGCATATTCCTGCATTAGATATGAAGGAGTTCTCTCAGAAGAACTCAGTCATGGCATGAGTATATTTATTGACCAATAACATGTTTATGTACACAGTAGTAGGAATGGTGCCTTGTAAGGGAATATCTGAAGCAATCTTTTTCTTAAAGCCAAAGCTTTCTATTGCAGCTGATGACTAATTGTGACATACAAATTTTAGTCCTTAAGGATATTAGGTTGGGCCTGAAGGATATTAAATACATAAGGATATTAAGGTTGGGCAGAGAAGATATTCAGAGCAGCCCTGCAGAGAAGGACTTGGGGGTGGGTGTTGGTCAATGAGAAAATGAACATGAGCTGGCTTCAGTGTGCGCTTGCAGCCCAGAAAGCCAACCGTATCCTGGCCTGCATCAAAAGGAGTGTGACCAGCAGGTCGAAGGAGGTGATCCTGCCCCTCTACTCTGCTCTTGTGAGACCTCACCTGGAGTACTGTGTGCAGTTCTGGTGTCCTCAACATAAAAAGGACATGGAACTGTTGGAACAAGTCCAGCAGAGGGCCACAAGGATGATCAGGGGACTGGAGCACCTCCTGTATGAAGACAGGCTGAGAAAGTTGGGGCTGTTCAGCCTGGAGAAGAGAAGGCTGTGTGGAGACCTCATAGCAGCCTTCCAGAATCTGAAGGAGGGCTACGGGGATGCTGGAGAGGGATTCTTCATTAGGGACCGTAGTGATAGGACAAGAGGTAACGGGTTAAAACTTAAACAGGGGAAGTTTAGATTGGATATAAGGAGGAAATTCTTTACTGTAAGGGTGGTGAGGCACTGGAATGGGTTTCCCAAGGAAGTTGTGAATGCTCCATCCCTGGCGGTGTTCAAGGCCAGGTTGGAGAGAGCCTTGGGAGACATGGTTTAGTGTGAGGTGTTCCTGTCCATGGCAGGGGGTTGGAACTAGATGATCTTAAGGTCCTTTCCAACCCTAACTATTCTATGATTCTATGATTCTATTAATTTGTATCTTTAAACTAATATTGAGAAATTATGGGTACTAAATGTATTTAAATATAATGAAACTATTTACATATGTGCATTTATATGTGACTTTTTTATACATATTAGCCTATCCAACAGCACTCTTACAAAAGACTAGGTCCTGAGCATTTCTCGTATGAACAGAAGTATGAAGAAATCTGTTTTGGCCATAGAAATGTTATGTATTTATTTCAAATAAATATTTCTCTAACTTGTTAAGCCACTATGCCTTAAAACATGCTCTAGGTTAATGGACAGTATAGTTACCTCTGCTAATTTCCTATTTTAGTTTAAAATTCCGTGATTGAACAAACATTTCAGCCTACACAAAGTAAATGTGATCTTCATCTAGCTAAAGTAATATACATCACAGTATATTTGGTTGTCTTTTGTCTTGTGCTAAAACAAAACAACATGAAGAAAATCGCCTATACAACCTTTTTAAGCCTTATCTCAAATCAGGCCTAAATCTTTAACAATGTTTCAGCTGGCTGGAGTAATGAAAACCTCTCTAATATCTTCTCCAGAAGCTTGTAATCTTTCTTTTTCATTTTACCCAAGAGCTTTGTACATTGCCGCTTTTCTCTAAAACACACTCTACACCTAAAAAGAAACAAACATAAAAAAAAAAAGAAACCCAACCCAAAACAAAAACCTATGAAACTGTTTTTTCCCATATGCATCTTTCTACATAACTCTAGAAATCAAAACACTGGCATTTTCTCCAGTGAAGAACTCTTAGTTTAAACAAGAAACAGATGGAAAAGCTACTTGAAAGATAATCATTAACTTGGTAAGTGAACCACAGTGAAGTTCCTGCTTCATTTTGGTAGTTTTGGGAACACACTGGGCCAGACTGAAGCCAATTTATACCAGCTGACAAATTATGACAGTTCACACCACCTGAGGAACAAACCATTATGACACTAAACATATATATGGGAAAAAAATATTATGTGTGAGAAAATTTGGCATGTCAGTGTCCAAAAAGGCTGCAGTTAAATAAAAACTATTCCCTAAAATTTGTTTTATTTCCACAAACAGAAACTTTCTTTTAAACTTCTGAATCACTAACATCAATTTGGAATGACTGACACTTACTAGGTTCATAGTAATCCACTATAGTCACTGAAGCATCTTGGATATTTGCCACTTTGAAGTCTCTCACAGTTGGAATATCCACACAAACATGCGTTTCATTTAGCTAGAAGAACAGAAGAGAAACATCTGAGAACCCTGGTGATGGTGGTTTCATATAAGAGGTAAGGACTTCTAGATCAACAGCAGTCCGTTTCTAAAGACTTGGATTCAGGACACATATAAAGATAATTATCTCATTTGTAGTTATTTTGGCCACATTACAGACTCCTTGAAATGTCTTATATATGATTTTTAAGAGGCTTAACCTACAAACTCCTTACAAATATAACTGACTTGTACCTATCCAGTCAGTCTTGCTAAAGAACAGTGGAGCTATTAATTCAATATGAATAGCACACATTGATTTCCCCAAAGAATACAATCATAATGTTTTTCCAAATTTAAACCAAACAATGGCAGAGTCAAGATTAACATCACTACAAACACATTTCTTTGTTATTTTCAACTTACTGAGTCTAAGTATAGGTTGACTTTTCCATTGTCCTTTTCCATCTTCTTAACTGTATTGTCTAATGGAATGAAATCTGGTGACACAGAGAAACCACTGAGTAAGCCAACCTCCATGAGGACCATACCACTCCTGGGAGCTGTGCCAGAACCCAAGTACCTTTTCAAAACACAAAGAGACTTTAAGTAGGAATACAGTAAACCACTCTCTAAAGAAACTGATGATTAAATCCCAACCATGGAAGCAATATTGCTTAAGAATACTTGAGAAACAAATAGAACAAAATGCCAACAAAAAAATTTCTAACAAAAAAGAGGTAATAATTGGTTTCTCTATTATTCCACTGGATAATTTCAATCACATATGCAAAAGCAGGTTTAACACTAAGAAAACTACAGTACGTAAACAAGAGACAATACTGACACCGCAAGGAGCTTTCCAATGGCATCCATAAGTGTAGGTTTATATCACAAATATGCAGGAAAAACTATAAATAAACACATCCTTCTAAAGAAGTAATTAAGAAAACGGTTAGGAATTCTTGAACTGAAATATACATATTTCTTCCTATGGATGCATTCTTTTGCTTTTATTCATTTTTTGAGGGTGAGATAAAAGTACACACCAAAAAAATCTTCCAAACCTTTTCATGTTTCCTTCACAGAGATTGACGGTTCCATTGACAAAATCATCGTCATATTATTTCTCAAAGCTCCAGTTTTAAAATTCAGAGTCATGTTATCATCCAGTTTTGAAAAAAAATTTAAGATGTTGAGGTCTTTCTTTTTTCCTAAATAATACTTATTATTACATCTTCTTCCAATGTAAGAATCAGATGCTGGACTAAAATGCTTTGCTCTACTGAGCGACTAAAATGCTTTGCTCTACTGAGCAAGCCTTACGCACTATGGTGCACAACAAAATTATCAAAATTATCAAAATATATGTATGGAGTTCTGTGCTACAAATGATACCTAAATGACCTGCTAACAATTGTATTGCTTTAAATAAAGCAGGTGGCAGAAGAGTTTCTCCCTTCCTTGGCATGGAGGGTAAATGATATTTGTTATACTAGAATAGAAGTGTCTCCAATTCTCATTTGGAAGGCCTGACAGTAGTTGAAAGTAATTAAATAAAACTGTTTCTTTGCAGAGCTAGATGGTTTAAAAAAAGGGAAGACTTGCTTTCAAAGCAATGCTGTTAAGCCTGGCAGCACGGCTGATTGAACCCAGATATGACTTTGAAAGAAATACCGCAGAACTGCTGACTTCAGTTGGCTCATGAGATTAGAAACAAATGAAACCATCTGTTGCATGATGTGCTGTGCCAAAGTAGCTGCTATTGAAAACAAATAACTGAATTGGAACTGGATGTAATTATTTCTGCATAATTACCAGTAAGAGGGGAGGAAAGTACTCAAGCTATCTAGCCAGCCTTGGGTGCTACCAAAATACCAACAGGTAACCAAACCAGCTTCATACTGTCAAAAACTGAGTAAGATATATTCCTAGAAGTTATGAGGATCTGCCTCTCTTAGAAGAGAGAGAAAGCCTTGGGGGATGGCTCCTGGTATTATCTCTTCAACTCCATGGTCTCTTAAAAGTTACCAAAAAAACCCAAAAAATCACCATAAAATCACCATGCAAGAATGAAGACTTGAAACTTGTACCTGAACAGAACTGAGAATGTTTTGAGTTGAATTTTACGTTTCAGTTCTTCATCAATAGGAGATTTGTATAAGACCCCCTCATAGATTATGTAAAGAGGAGAAAACAACACCAAGCTAGTGTAGGCAGAAAGCATAGAGTTGAGTAGAACTGTCAGCAATCAGTTTCCCATACCTGGAAACAGTATGCAGGCAACAAGACTGACCAGAAAAGAAACTGACAGCCCTGGGTATCTGCCTCCCAGATAGTAAGTTAGCTCCTCTAACCAAGAATCAGTTTAATTTGAATGAAACATCATCTGTTCCAGTGTCATAAATGATACTCAGTTGAGATGACTGTGGCCAATCAGAACCAAGCTGGCTGAAAGATAGTGGCATGTTCTGCAGATTACAGAAAGAAAAAAATTGCAAAGTTGCAGCCTCCATTACCTAGCCATGCATGCCAACAGCTGATTGAGATTGCAGCAGTCTTTCTATATTCCTACTTTGGTTTCTCTACCAGAAAGCCACATAGAATCATAGAATAGTTAGGGTTGGAAAGGACCTTAAGATCATCTAATTCTGACCCTCCTACCATGGGCAGGGACACCTCACACTAAACCATGTCACCCAAGGCTCTGTCAACCGTTGTGAAGATTGTAAGTAGACCAGCCTTAAACCAATTCAAGAATTTAATACAGATGATGTATATATTATATACAAGGGGGGGGGGGGGGGGGGGGGAAGCAGAAGAGAGGAGAGAAAGAAGAGGATGACTAATTTATCAAGCCAAGAAAACAGAAATAGAGTCTCAGACTAAAGAATAGAAACACAGACTTACTAGAACTTATACCAGTCCACTTTCCATAGTATGAGTTGATGGATCTGAATGTTTCAAATATTCTCCTGGGGAAGTTTTATAATGCCACCAGATCTTCCCCTGTCCTTTGAACACTTTGCAATTAAAACATCATCACCCTAAAGCCTTCCTAGAGATGTATATTCCTGTGTATATTCCTGAGCCAAAGGTCAGGAAAATCAGAATGCCCAGCCAGGACTTAACCTAGACCCATCATGTAAGCCTTTTACATGTCAGGAGTTTGTGCTAGGCTTTGGAAAGTTGTTGTCACTTCATCGAAAAATTTAAGAGAACATCCCCATTCTATTTCAAGAGCTCTCATGTATTCTAGTGTCCCTGCCCACCATCTGTGTCACTAAATTGGTTACTAGAAACACATAAAAACAGGGCTCTGCCTTTGTGCCCGCTGGCTATTTCCCAAATTCAATCAATCCTCTCTGTACTGAAATCATATCCACTATAGCTGATTATTTGTATGTTGGTGTCACCTAGAGGCTCCATCTCCAATCACAGCTCCTTTGTGTGAGCAGAGTATAAAAATAGTATTTAAAGTTTAAATAAATATCAAAAAAGAGTATGTGGAAGAAACTAATGTAAGAGTAATCATGGTGGACCAGGTGGTACTTTGCAAATCTTCCATTTACAAGAAACGCGTTAGAATGTCATAAGAAGAAAACAGTGTTTCTAGAAGAAGTATGCACAAACAGATGAATCCCAAACACAAAGAATGTAGTCATCTCAAGATCCTTCTAGATAAAAGAAGATAAATTACAAATATCTGCGGAGAGATACAGTGTCTTACGCAGATTTCTGTGAAATACACAGTGCTCTTTAACTACAAAAAAAGTGCACACTGTAGAAACTGCCAGAGAGCAAACATCCTCAGATATTTCTTTTAAATACGTATATAAGCCCTTTCACAGCAAGTAAAAGTAAAGCATCAAAGCGATCTAGGAATATGCAGTATGACTGCTCAATGTCGCCTGCTCTCATCTGATCCAAATTATACCCAGCTAACATGTGGTGGCTGTTCTGTGATCTCTGGGATGATACTTCAGCAGCCTCAGCTCAGTTCTTAGTAGATGTTTACTGAACAACTAACATCATCTCAGATACACACACATGCTTATTCCACAGAAAGAACAGAATTAGCCAGGCCGAAAAACACATTACCTCTTTCAAATATAGAATGATGCTGACATGTTATATTACCAAATTCATAACTATAAGACTTATTGGTAAATGAAAGACCACAAAGACACCTGACAATAAGACAATAACCCAGCTGAATCTATCATTATGTAAACATGGATTCTGACTCCTGCCAAAAATGTTCTGAGCAAATTTTATTAATAGAGATGACCAAAGGTAGAACGCTTCTATTTCATGGTGTTTTCAGCACTTCAGAACTTCCTTCTCTTTTTAAAAAATAGTAATAAAAAAAAAATTTTGTATTTACTTCTAGATAGAAAGCAAAGCATTCCATTCATGAAAGGTAAGAGTAATGGGCAGTTGTCACAGTCTGCTACTAGAAGTTAGAATGTGGAAGACATTGGTTCAGTTTTTAAGTCTCTCCACAGTTCTCCATATAGCTAAAAAGCACTTGCACCACAGAACCTTTGAGTTTTTTCTTGCATTTCACACAGACTCTTCCGTATACCTCAAACATTTAGTGTACCACCATCTTTATGCATACCAGTAAAACAATACCACCTGGCCAGCAACATTTTTGCACAAAAGTTCTGTCACTCCGTTTATGTACTAATGAATTCCTATTTAGTTTAACTGCAACCATTTTTACAAAGTAATTCTTTTATTCTCTTTAGTTATACATTTACTTCCCATACACTAGTAAAACACATGCAAACAAACGGGTAAGTTAGCTCATTTTAAATAACTTAAAAGCTGCATAGACAACTAAGTGTATCAGATGCTCCAATTTAATTACCTACCTTGTGCACACATTCAAGGTCAAATGGTTTTTATCATCTTTGTCATCCTTTACATCAACATTCAAGTCAAAGGCTTCTTGTTTTCGGACAGATCTGAGCCTCTGATCAGTGTGCTTTGTGTTGTAAATAACATTGAGCTGTGGATTTCAAGTAGAGACATTAGATGACATGTGTAAAGCAAATCTGTGTGGTTAAAACACCAAGTTTCTAACAGTGTAATGCCAGAGGAGTGCTCACATGAAAGGATATGCAGCCTTGTATGACAGCTCTATGCATGAGACTCATCGGAATTCTCTGAAGGAAATATCCTTTCTGAACACTTTGTAATGCAGCAGAACCAATACATTTAGCAGGATGAGATGGAGGCAAACACAAGCAAGTTTTTGGACAACCAGCAACTTTCTCCCTATTTGTTGTCTGTGTGTGCAGCTACTTCCTGACAGCAAGAAATGAGAAGAATAAAGACAAACTTCAGAGACTGACTCCCACTGTGTTAAAAGAGACAGGCTGCATATGAAAACAGAGCAAGAGCAAATACATACGTACAGACTTTGTCTTTAGTCTTCATGTCACAGCATTCATACACTCAAAAGAGATGATGCATAGCATGTCATTCTAAGCTCAGAACACAATTTCCTTGCTGTTAAGTAAGCAGTTTCATGATTTGGTTTTAAGACAAAGCTACAGTCTTCAGGCTGCCTCGGAGACAGAGAGCTCTTGCCCTCTCTGCTTAACAAGTGCCAAGGTCTGCTAAGTAAGCCAAGTAAGGATAACAGGATTTCCAGTGCAGGACAGTAACATTAATACAAAATAAGCTCATGTATTAGGCACAGTTTGAGATTTTCCAATTCTTCTACTGTAGATATGTATAAGATGCTTGAGACAGTGGTAGATGAGTGGTAAAACCAGAAGCCCTTAAACAAGGTCTCAATAATTAGGAAATAGCCTGATTATCTCAATCTCCTATAAAATTACCAATGCTGACAGCAAAAGCAGAAATGCTGGACCTGGAATTGAGCACTCTCATGTTATCAGCCATCACAGAAAGTTGTGCAGTAAAAAAAGTCTGTACTGCCTACAGAACTGAAATTCATGGCGTAAAGAAACAGCTGAAAACTGCCTTACTACCACACTGGAGGATGACAGCAATTTTTTTAAGAGTACCAGGGGTCTAGAAAACTACGGCTATCAAGTAAGCTCAGTATTTATACCAGAAAACACAATCAAAACTATAATAAAAAGTCAAATTAGTGGACAAATGAGTAACTATGACATGTTGGAGAACAAGCTGTTGATATAAACCCACTAGCTACCTGAATCAAATGAAAAAACTCAGTCAACAGAGCTCTGTCTAGTACAACCTACATGGACATTACATTGGCATGTAGCTGATTAGGATGAGTTCTAGCTAAAGGGTACTAGCCAAAACAAAAGAAACTGCCAAGGGATAAAAGGCTGTTAAAAGACAGGAACAGAGGGTGGAAAAGTTCATACATAAAAGGAGCGGAGTCCTAAAGGAATCTGGTCTAGATGACCACCATTAAATGTATCCATACATTATATATTAAAAAGGGTGAATCCTGATGTCATAAAGTTTGTTAATTATACTAATTTATCTGAGGTAGCAAAGACTAGGATTACTGAAAAGAGTTGCAGAATGAAAGAATTTTTATGTACATAATAATGGGTTATGCACTGTTTACTACCAAATCTGTTTAGCATTTAAGAAATTGTAAAATGCATGAAAATTCAGTCAGAAATAGCCAAGTTGGAAGAAGGACACAGAATTACTTTCATGGGAAAGACAAATAGGAAATAGTTTTTCTTGCAATGCAAGTTTAAATTATGGAATTCCTTCCCACAAGATGCTGCAGATACTAAGCTGTACAAATGTTCAAGGGCAAAAGAGACAACTTCATGGAACCAAAATTTTCTAAGCCCACAGAAAATATCTCCAGCTGAAGGTCTTGAATAATATACAGTAAGAGGTAGAAGACAGTCAAGTAATATATTATATTATTTATCTTCTTATACTCTCTCCTGGGCATCCACCACTGGCCGCTGTGGAAAACAGAATGCTGGGCTAGACTGAGCTTCGCTCTGACCCTGTATCTCCAGATACAAGAACTAAGGGAGCAGATTTAAGGTTCTTCATACAATATACTATTAGCTGCAGAATATGTGCTGCAAGAAACCGAGGTTCCTGTATGTGGCAAGAGGGTATACCAGTGAGGTATCACTTCATGTCTGCCCTGTTCTAGTAGCCTTCATTGGTCATCTTCTCTTTACTCCCACTATGGGATACAGGATAATGAACAATATCAGCTGTCCCAGCACATCTGCTCTAGGATACTCATGTACTTATACCCAATAAAAGACACCAAAAAAAAAAAAAAAATTCACTTTGAGAAAACATATCAAGGTGCTTCAGACTGATTAACACCCAAGGCAATGTTGATGGTAACTGCAGATTCCTTTGCTGTGGCACAAATGGGACACCAGCTCTTGAGAGAACAGGCTGCTGAAGCACACTTCACTGTGATGACTCAGAAAGCTCAGCTTTCAAAATCAAATACAAGAAACTTAGACAATGTTTACTATCAAATAAGAGTTTACATTATTTAGCAAAATAGTGATTTTTACCAACAGAACAGTAAGTTTGCAGTTTTAATACACAAACAAATAATCCTCATGTCTCTTAGTCATCAAGAGAAAACATATGGCAAGGCAGGGGGGGAAACTTCTCTGATTTTGGTAGAAAAATAATTAGAAAGTGGTTCAAATACTTTCAACATACACTTTGCTTGGCTAAGGAAAAGGGAATGAAGAATGCTTCTGGAAAATCACAGTCCCTTTACACAGTTTCTGGCAGCAAAGGGAAAACCATCAGTCCAAATTTAAAGGCATGACTCGGGGTTATACAAGTTATAGGTTAGCAAGACAGTTAGAGGCTAGCAAATCTGTGCAAACAGAGGAGTCTTTAATTTCTAATTTTTGCTTTTGCTGCTATGTCTCTCACTAACACACACATGATTTCCCTTGCTCTGCCCTGCCTGCATTGCTGAATTTAGCATGCTGTATGAGTGCAGAGCCAAATCTGTACAGGCGCTCAGGACAACCGTGGTGCAACAGGGAAGATTTATCCTGTATAACTGCTCTGCAGGAGAAGGCAGTGCCAAGGATTAAGCCAATCTAGAAAGCCTGCCAGTTACAGGCATGCAGAAAGTTTGGTAAAGACAAGCTGGTGGTGCCTCAACAATCTGTCATCACAGAAACAAAGCTGTTTTAACTTTTGCCAGAAAAAGTTAATGAATGGGAATTTACTGCCAAGGCAGGATGTCTGAAACCACATACCAAACAGGTCAATCAGCTAGTATTTTCATGGAATAAGTTATCTCTGTTACGGTCTGACTTTCCTTTCTTGATTTCTCATGACAATGAAGGAAAAATCTTTTTTGTAACAAATAATTAAAGCCTCCATTATACACTCTTACTTTGGGGACAGAATGCTATTATACAGAAACTAGCATTAAATCAACAAAAATGGGCAACTGCATTTCTTCTTAACCCTTTTAAGAAGCAGCTGCTAAAGCTAAAGGCAGAACTGATCCAGTCTTGTTATATACTGCAACCAGTTCTCATGAAAGGCCCAAGAGAAAACTAGAAGCTAATCATGACAGAGATGTTTGTAATAGTATCTGACCCAATCAATAGCACTATGTTTAAAAAACATCATTCATTTATAATGCCTTAATCCATGTCTCTTTATCCTTTTCTTTTTGTTCTTCAACTAGCAGCACATATGTGCTTGATTGAGGACACAAATTCAATGAAATAATCTCCAATATTTTTCTCTCCCTTTTTGACACAGTATCTACTTAAACTGTAATGGAGAAGTATGTGTGCTTTTATATTAAAGTGTGTATCTTTTTCAGTACCATCATGACAAATAACGTTTAGTCCCTTGCATTTTACTAAGTCTAGTAAAAATACACCAAGTTGAAAAAAAAAAAACAGTCCGTGCTTTTCAGTAAAGAGTAACAACTGATTCCCATTTCTTTTCCTCACTTCCTCTCTGTACATGACCAGGAGATCAAGATCTTGTTCATGCATCCACTTTGCCCATACCAACACTACTTTAGCCTGCCCACTGTTCCCTTGTTAGACCTGGATTTCAGTGGCATTCTTCCCTCCAGAAGGCACAGGCCATGCCAATTAGAAGCCAAGCCCATTTCACAGTGACTCAAGACAGCAGAGAATTCTGTCTTCCAAGACTTTCAGCAGCTCAACAAGGGAAGATGGCTTGACTCCTTTCTCTGGAGAGTATCTTTCATATACCCTTAACCTTACACTCATCCTCTCTTTCCCCTTGTAGAGTCAGTGTCCACTGCATATACCCACATAATGAACGGATGAACTAGGAGACTTTGTCCCTAAGGCCGCAAAACTACAATTAAATGTCTGCTTTTCCAATTATACTATCCAAAACAAATAAATTTTCTGAGATCCTGCAGGGTCAAGTATGAATACACTGCCAACTTGCACACACAGTGAGATTTCACAAAAAATAAGGTGTTTTTTCTAAGAATCCATTCCGTTGGGAAAGCAACTTTTTCCATTAATGGGCCAAATCTTGTGTTTTGTGATATTTAAATGAATTACTGTTTTGACATGCTACTTTGGCCAGAAAGTCAAATCCCAGAACAGTGAATCCCACCACTGTACTTTGGCGGGCCTAAGACAATGAAACCCAGCTGAAGAAATGTGATCGCCTTGTCATATGCTATCTGATTTATTAAATGCGGCCCAGATCTAGCTTGTTCCTGGGAAAAAGAGAAATCTCATTCAAATGGCATCAATGCTCTGTCTTTTAGAATACCAGACCTGCTAAAAGAAGCAAAAGGAAAGAACTGATCCCAGCAAAGAAAAGGTTTGAAGAAGCTACTCCACTGTATTAAGGACAAAAGTTTGAATCAAGTCACAGCACCTCTGACTCAGGAAGCTGCATGACAAAAGGAAACAGAAAAAAATAATCTGGCGTTGGTTCCTGAACACCAGTCATTTGGGAGCACATTTGCATGTTCAGACAACAAACCAGGAACTTAACCTATAGTGCTACACACCCCCAAAAAGCCTTCTACCCACAGAGTCAACTACTGGCTATTCTGGATGGAAGACTTCTGCTTAGTCTTCACCAGACATGCTGGTTTGGATGTGAAAGTTTCCTGCTGGCAAAAATGTAATTGGAACCAATATGCTTTCACAAAAGGCATTCCTTTCAATAAATCAGCATCTTCCAGCAAGAAACAATTTGCTGAAAAGTTTTTGATAAGCTCATCTGACAAATTGGTTGACTTAATATCAGGGATTATTTCTCAACAGTGATTAAGTTAAGTAGCTTAACTATTCTGGAACCCCACTTTGTTACATTCCACATACACTCACACACTGAAACCACAGATGTGTGAATGCAATCCTGCTGAGAAGTTCATGCCTATCTTGGCCTGCAGTTCTCAATCTACAATATCCTCTGAAACTTTTGACTTTGCTGTAAACTTCATTGGCACTTCTGGGAATTAATAAACACAGGACATGATTTATGGCACTCTGGGTTTTGCAGACTGATGCTGAATGAATGAGGGTTATCTCACTGCTATTCACTGCTGAGAGGTACCTGTGAAGTTTCTTTTTAAATGGTCTTTTATCCAAAAGCATGTTTACCATCACCATGTTTCCTTGTTTCCCAGACGTAAGAACACTGAAGTAAAGGTCAGGTTGAAAGGAACCTGAGACGGAATCTGACCTGGCACAAAACTTTAAGATGATTAAAGTCAGCCTAAGTTCAGTTTTCTTGAGTACGACTATAAGGACTCTAGCAGGAGCTCTGTCTAGTTTTATGGTAAGATTCAGCAATCATGAGTTTATTTATATATTTCCAATTAAATGACTCTGTCATGCTCAGAGACTAATATTTCTCTATTATCTGTAGCTTTTCAAAGGTCTTCTCTTTCGCCTATGTGTTTCTAAGCCACCCACTATCATGGACAGAACAACAGGGAAGACCCATTCATGGCCATATCAAATGAGTTCCAATACTGTCTTCTTCACACAGGATATTTCTCATGGGGTTAGGAAAAATCTTGGAGGTAGAATTTTTTTCAGAACACAATCTCTTATGGCTGAAGAGCAAGCAGCTGAAAAGGCTATTTATGTTTTGCTAGTTCTAAATACTGTATGTGCTTATCCCAGATTAATTTGTTTAAATATAAGTAAAGTTATTTGAATTTCTACTACTGAAACACAGTCACTATATAGCCTTCTACTCTTTGCCATGCCCCACTGCTGGCTGATGTGAAGCATCTATTACTGTTGACAGTTTGCAGGATCCTTTGACTCTAGTCTTTCACACTATTTCAGAACACTGTAAAAATTGCTGAAGAACCTGGCCGCAATACTCTTGTTTTCAGGTTTTGCACTATAGCTATATTCTACTTCAACAAAAGGAAAGTAAGTCTAATAACTAGTAGTGTAATCTAGTTCTGTATTGATCTGTGCCTTATTATGGTTTACCTCAGGTTTCCAATGAAGCATATCTACCTGGTCCATGTGTCTTTTTTACTCTGACCTTTGTGCCTGCAGACATGCCACTGCACTCCTTTGTCTTGCAAATGGACACTGCATTCCTACAGGAGGACAGGGCTGGTTTGATATGGCTCTGGCCCATGGAAGTGCCCCAAAACTGTCAATCATCCAGCAGTACTTAAAAGCCCAGCCCATCGGACAGAAACAAACACATTAATACATCTATTCACACAATATTTGGTTCATAGCATTCTTCAATTAGTAAAATGTTTTAGTACTGATTTAATACATTTCAGAACATTGTTCTTACTAACATGTTTAATAAAGGTCCAAAATTCAGCAAGAATAACTACACTGCATACCTGAAAGACAGCAAATCCTGTTCCATCCGCTGCCACTGTAATTGTCATTGGTTGTACAGGGTCAAGCTGAAAGAAAGATGAGTAAATCAGTATTTTCAAAGTACTTTCAGCCAGCAACCTTTATGAAATATTCCTCACTTTCTACAGTACCTCCTTGGTCTGAAGCAGAAAACGGTTTCGAGTATCAATCGAAAATATTTCTGGTATTTTCAAAGAAGGTGCTGTCACTGTTAAATCCATTTCTGTTCTGCCTGCAGTAGTTAGAGTTGCGAACAGACTCAAGGCTTGCAGAGCCACCACCGTGTCCTGTTAGGAGAAACAAATCCTTCTGTAATAAACAGTGAATACTTGTGTATAGGCTATGCCTTGGGGAGCTCATGGTCTCCGCACTGTCCTATTTTTTGATTATGTCGGAGTCTTCATGCAGCCACCCCCACATCTCCATTGGGATTCCACTGCCATGAAGGATCCCAGCACAGAAGAGGGATGGCAACACAAGTTGAACACTTGAAGCATCTCTTCCAAGTCCTTACAATTATATTCTCATGCTTACATTTCTCACATTTATATTTCTCGCCCTGAATTCAGAAAGAGTTCAAGATGTCTAGAAAAGCTATCTGCTGTTGCTGAAGGTAACTTCAGAGCTCTTCCACATCCTAGGCTGAAATGACTCTCAGAAACACAGGTGAAAATCGAAAGGGCAAAGAACCACCTACAGAGAAGATAAATGATCCCCTTGCCATGCTCGAAAGCAGATGGCTTTTCACCAAGAAACATTCACAGCTGAAACATGAGTTGCACAGGTCAGCATGACAATGCTGTGTCCAATACAAAGCCTGAAAAGTTACAGAATATGGTCTCAACCCATAGACATAGGCCTCTCTTGCCCAGCAACACAGACTTCGTAGATCTTGCTACTCTTCCCTATGTTTTAAATCTGCTTTCATATATACACTATTTTTTGTACAACTTGTATTCCTGTAAATAATAAATATCCACATTTTATGCCCAAACATTAAAAGCATTATAAAGCAAATTATACTGATTGCAAATTCATAATAAGCTACACCACATATACAAATTGCAGTGAGTTATGACACCCTAACTTACAAAACATCACACATGCAACTGATTACTTTCCTCTTTATTAACAATACATTACGTTTCTAATGTAATAAATTCATGGAAGAAAACACTCCCAATGTTTTTTTTTAATGTAATCTCAGAAGTTAGCAGAAAGTATGCGGTTGTTTCCATAAAATAAAAATGCCATCCTAAGAGTCACTGTAGTAATTTTGAAATCAAAACAGTTTAGACTATGGAAGAACAAACGGATTAAGTTCATTTCTTAACTTCACACTCAGGAGTAAATGGTACACTGATGGATTTTCAAACTTTCAAGTAAAAATGGTTTCTAGAGAATAGAGAAAAGCTTTTTAAACTCATATAGTGCTTCAATCAGCCTCTTCAAATAATAAGCAAGAATCAACATATTATGAAAATATGAGAAACGCAGGGGAACTAGGCTGGTTGCTGCATTTTATTTAGTAGAACTAATTTCTCTCAGATCAATACCAACAAACACTGGAAAATAATGAAGGATAGCCTGTACAGCTTGGTACCAAGCAGTATGAGGAAATATGACATTTTACTGTGACCAGCATTTGCAATTAATTTAAAAGCTAGTTTAAGCTAATGCAATCCAAATTACTATATAGACTTTCTGGATGCCAGCACAGAGTACAAGATGTGGTTTCAATAACATGGAAACCTCCCGGAGATAATGAAGATATTCCAAATTTCATGGCCCATCAAAAATTTATGCAATAATGAGGACAAAGTACATTATTAAGACAAACTGCCAACAGAGGCTCTAGGTTAGGACATTTCTCTAAAACCTACTCCCATTTCTTATCTTAGTTTCAGAAGTTTGAGGACCCACATATGGAAAGAATAGAAAGAGGTTTCTCTCCTTGGAAAGAAAGCAAGCACAGATACTTGGAAAAATCTGATTTATTCTTTTTCCATGGGCATCACTTTCTTCATTTAAGACATTTTGTTATTATTACTTTATACAATCAAGGTGACCCTCTAATTCTGTTTTTTATTACACTTGCTAAAATAGTAAAACTGGTAGTCCAGGTTTAAGATGCCAATATCACAAAGAAGGCAAGCCTGCACACAGCCAAGGTTATTATAGCAAAACAAAATCCAGTAATTTTTATGTAAAAATAAAAAAAGTTCCCTTTTTAATTTTTTTTTTTTAAATACACAATGCTCATTTAGAAAGTATAACAAAGCCCCTTGAGACAAGATATTACCTGAGTAGATGAAAATCCCCCAAGGTGATTTCTTTGCTGACTTAACCATTTCATAATAGGGATACCCTCTGCTAATCTGTCTTGATGAAAGTGCGATAGCAGAGCATATGCTGCAAGTTCAATATCGATGGACCGTGGCTGCCATGAATCAGAAATTTCAGAAGCAGGTGTTATCCAGAAACGAAATTCTCCTGCAGAAGGAACCAATAATAACCTCAGAATGACATCTTTGGACTTCTCAGAAAGACTTAATTAATGCTTATTTATGGTACCTATCCAGGTTTTTTAAAATTGTGTTAATGTTTAGGCTTGTGTCACATAAATGACTGACTTCAGCACTTCCTCAGCAGTGGCTGCATCTAGATACAAAAAGGTTAGAGTCCAAATAATCACTCCCATTGATTTCAGTGAACTTCACATTGCTCCTTTTATTGTCAGCTCAAAGTGCTCACATAAAGGAGCCTTTGTGAAAAGGCCATTTTGTGAAAAGACTGTCCTACTCCTTTCTCTTCAGGACTGGAGAAGGCATCTCATGCAGCACAGCTGCTAAACAGCCTCTTCCTTGACTAAAGCCTTCTAAAACAGCAATTTTCTCCCTTCCCAAAAGTGACCATAAGAAAGTCCTAACCCAGTAAACACAGAAGGACAGAGGCTCTGTTACTAGGTTACAACATTAATTCCTCAAGATTTTTCAGGAGGATAGTTACTATTTTGAGCCCCAAACTTCAACTGCTTACATCCATGTGGTTTGTTCCTGCCCTAAAACAAAGAATAAAATTCAGTCATGCCAAACTCGGAAGAGGTTAAACATAATGAGATGATGGGTTCCTCGAGAAAATGCAACAGACCTCAACACTGTCTTACAGAAAATCCCTCAACTCTTCGGTACTGATTTTAACTAATTGCCACCCAACACCCTCCTAATTGAAACCAGTCTGAAATAGCCAACCTCATCCATCTCTCTTTAACCAGCCTGATCTTACTAGTGTATGTAATAGCATGGGAGAACTGACAAGTCATGTTTTTCAGCAGCATCATGGTATTCCCCATCAGGAACATGGTAATTGAGACTGAAAGACCTAGCTTTGTTCTGAATTGTCATTCTATTTTGGACGCTTTTCATTAAAACTGTCTTGGAAGTTCTTAGTTTATTCTCTATACCATACTCAAAACAGATTTGAATTCGGAATAATGATTCTCTTCATGTCTAATTCCATATGCAACTGCAGATATATAATAAGTATGTTTAAATTTGACAAAAGTCCATCTATACAACTGTATAAGATAGTTGTGCAGTACCTCGGTCTTCGGCTCTCTGGTTCAGTATATTCAGTGCCTCCTTTGCTTTTATACTTTTTGCCCAGGACAATGCATATGTCACAAGTGCCAAAGTGTAATTATCTGAAATGCCTTCTTCTAATTTATCTTCCAGAAAGTTTGTAGCACTCTTGATGACATAAGCATGCTGCAAATGAAGATTATATTGAAGATTGTACAGCAAGTGATTTATTGAAACATTAAAATTTAAAAGAAAAACTTGTACAGAAAAATTACTATTGCCAAACAACAACCCAAAAATACTGAAAATCTCTTTCAGAGTCACAGACATGCACCTCAAAGGCAAGCCTTTTGATCTGGCACTGTCTTCTATGAACGTGAGGAATCGCAGTAAAATCAACTGGAATGACCTAACATCTCTAAGGATAGCTCCCTCCATAAATTTCTTTGCAAGTTCTTGGACTAAAGCCATAACAATATTCTTACTAAAAGCAACTGCCTTCAGTTTTTTCAAAGGCACATAAAATTGAAAAGCCAACAGCACAACTTTGTATTGTCTCAGGTAGCTACAGGAAGTTTAACAAAATCAGTTTAAATTTTGTCTCTGATCAGATGTCCTTCAATTTCCTTGAACTACTGTTTGCCAGGTACTACGGCTATTTATGAAGTGTTCCAGTAATTGTAAATTCTGTTTATGAATTCCAATACCTGTTTATCTGGGAATCCCAGGAGGGACGACATGATATAAGCTGTGAGAGTGACTGGATTATTGGTGCCTCCTTGAAGATCACTGTGTAACACCTTCCCAGGCTCACGAAACTCTCCATTTAACTTCTGATGCCGAATGATCCATTTAGCCGTATCCGTGAGTACATCTTGGTCAATATCTATGAATGGACGAGCTTGAAGGAAACATCTTAATACAAAAGCTGATAACCTTGGGGGGAAAGTTAATCAGATACAACAAAATTAGTGACATATTAACAGCTTCTTCTGTTTAAGATGATGTGTGAATACTGTGATGCATAAGGCGCTCTACACACACCTCCCAAGCACAGAGGAAAATACATGCCTCACCTAGACCAGCAAGTACACTAAGTTTAATCCACAAAAAAATGAAACTATGTCCTTGTTTCTAAAGATCACCTCTTTTTGCATCTGTTATGTTTCAAAAATAAATACAGATATAGACTCCAAGTCTGCCAGCACATGTACATCTTTACTCAAATGCTGCTCTCCTGCCTTCTACTGCTGGGCAAAAATGGCAAAAATCATAATTTACAAAGTAATGCAGTTATGAGTATGATGTTAATTACCACCGTTTTCCTTGTAATTATATCATTGAAACAACCTTTGTTGTTTTACTAATAATCCCAAATTCTCCTTTGACTCTCTTCTTTGCCAAATATACATTCATGTAACCTGTCACTGCACTACTGAAGTACCAGAGTTGCCAGGTCAGATAAATTATACTCATTTTCCAATCCACTGGGTCAAAGGCACATCTTGCTGATGTCAATGAAAGATGCTCAGTGACTCCAGAAGGAATGCCTCAATCAGTGGCACAGTCACGGGGATGGTTCTCTTTAAAGTCAGCAGTGTGTACTGATATACACAAGTATATTTAAACTAACTGAACTTGGGTTAGCTGAATGAAGTGCTAGAACTTGTATCTGTTATCTATCTTGTTTCCAGTACTATGCTCACAATGCTTCTCGGCATGAAATTCAGCACTAAAAAAAGGCTTTTTCACCTCTATCTACAGTCTAAAAAAAGGAGGTATGAGAAAGGTAAGTAGGGCAAATTTTTAGCACTAGTAACTCTGTTCAACCCCTAGGAAATGCCTCAGTCATTCTTTAGTCTCCAGTACGGAGAAAACTGAAATCTGAAGCAATAATGGTCACATAGCCCTAAATAGTTCTAGTCAACTGGAAGAACAACTCATTTAATTATTATTCTTCATTCCTTTGAGGAAAGCAACAGAAAAACTTTCAGACCAAGCTATTTCTCTGGATGAAATAATGCACCATTCATCTTCTGCAAAATTAAAGAGCCTTGCCCTAATAATAGCTTTGACAGCATGTTATCCAGCAGAATGACCTTAGAATCATAATGAATGACTAATGAAAACCAGGCAGAAGGCTAATACAGACGGAAATTTTTACCAGCTTCTCAAAAAATTTTTAGTCGTGGGGAAAGTATCTAAAATACTTAAATTCCATATTGAATCTGGCAGAACTACTTACCATGTGCTCCCAGAGGGATCGTCATTTCCAAAGGCACTAAAAGAGCCATCATCTCTCTGGAAAAGCAGCTCTCTCTGGTAGCCTGAAGTGGAAAAGCAGAGACAGGTATTGGAAACTTTCCTCTCATGTGGGTTTTGGCACAAACTGTCTGCTGATGAGAAGCAAGGCACTTTCTAAGGTTGAGAAGAACCTGACATAGTGTTTAATAAAAAGTCTCCCAAATATGTAGGAACACACAAAACCACACAGAAGATGATGAGAAAGGGAGAGCAGTAACATGAAGAATCCATTTACAAAAGCAGAACCAGCAGCTCCTGCTCACGCTCACAACAGTACTCAATGGCTCGAGGAGCACAGCAGCAAAGAGCAGAGAACAGAGTAGCAGATATAGTTCAGTGCTTCATCAGTTTGGGGAGCTGGAGCTGTGCACATACAGAACTACTCTATCTTTCCAGCAGAAGGAAGGACAAGCAAAAATGAAGTATTTTCCAACTGGAAGGGCAAAGTGTACAGCAAAGCTACAAATGCTGCTCAAAACCAGACTCTTTCAGCAGCTTGCTTTTCCCAAATCAAAGCACTTGTTATTCGAACAGGCGTGCTGAAAGAGGTTACTCTGAAGCAAGTGAAAAATATCAAAAGACCTGAATATCCTGAAATCCTGAGACAGATCCATTTAAAATGCATGCAAAGATTCTTCAGTATGCAGAACAAGCGCAGCTTTTTCCTGACTGCTGAATGTCTATAATAAAAGTGCCCCAAGGGCTCACTAGCAGCTCACAACCACGAGCAGCATCCTTAATAGTTGACTTCAGTGCAGAACCAATGTTCATTAACGTTAGAAATTAAAAGTTTCCTACAACATGCTACTCCCTGTAGTTCCTAAAATCTAAAATCTTCCTTCCCTTATGTTTTGCTTGCCATTTGTTTAGCCATAACAATAATCGTATCTATTTATACCATTTCAGAAGACATCTTTTCTTCTTTCCCTCTACCTTGTCTTTTTCCTTGGCTATTTTGGCTGTTATAATTAAGCAAGTATACTCATTAATTTAACACCTGACAGATAAAGACACAATACTGAATCAGGAAGAAAACCTGTAGGCAATCATTAAGTCCTACACAAATTAAGAAATTTAGAAATATGTTCCGTGAGGTCCATACAAGTGTTCCCCTGCAAAATGTTCCTTGTTTTTACTGATAAAGAATTAATCACCTGCTTACATACTATCCTGTATATAGCTACGTAGTGAGTGAACCACAGCCTTAATTACTGAGGAACAAATGGTCTGATCCCCCAATCTAAGGTATAATGTAAGATGAAACCCTAGTCAGAATCTAAGCAGAAGAGATATAAAGATACAAATATGAACTGCTACAGTATAGCAGTGCACCTTCCCATAAGAACTCTTAACCCAGTAGCATCAGGTTTAGTTTTCGTCTCTTTAGAAGAGTTTGAAATTAAAATTTCCACTTAAGTATAGGCTTCTTACAGCATATTTATCATGACAGTTATTGATTACATGATTAAAACTGGTGAATCTTTCCTGTACAGACAAATCTGGCATCTCAGTTAATGATCTTGAGGAATCAAGCACTCTTGAGTGGGAAGAATAAAGAAGGAATGAGTGGCACCACCAAGGAAAACAAAAGTCACTGTCAAATTTAAGCCTCAAAATAATGTGCTCTGAGGAACATGAATATATGTATATATACAAATAGATTGCTTCCTCTTCAAAGATATATGACTGCAAGGCCTGGAAACTGAGCTTTTTCTGCTTCTTAGCAGAAGGGGCAATACATAGCAATAAGTATTATTATCACCACCCGTTTGGTAGTGTAAAAGCACTGAACAAAGACCAGCAGCCTGCTTAACAAAGACTGCTGAGTGGCCCTTACATAGGGAAAAAATTATCTCATAATTTATTAAGATTGGGAGGCATAAGAAAGATGAGCAGAACCAGAGGAAGAATGGAGTGATCATTCAGCTATTTCCTACAGTATGGTTGTTTTTTTCTTAACCCCAGCCCCACTGCAGTCTCACAGAAGTCTCTCAATACACATGCATCTGCCACAGGGGAGTCTGTAGAAATGCTGGAAACGAGATCTGGGGGCTGTGAACTACTGTGTTTGTTCCAGTGGGCACTCAATCAGATATGAAAAATGATACTTCAAATGTCAACACATACAAGTGGAAAGGCAAGGAAAAGAAGGATCCTATTATGAAGATGTACACTAGTAGTCCCGGAGGACTGGCTGGAACCCAAGAGATGTAGGAGGCTTGCTGAACAAGGCTGAAAGAGGAGTGCATCAGGATGGAAAGGACTTCAGAAATACGTGAAAGACTAGAGGGTCTCAAATTTCAAATAGCTTGGAAATACTGCTCAAATTCATTGTTTGCTTCAGGTCTAGCACCAAAGTTTTCAGGCTGACCAGGATTTTTTTTATTTCTAAAGAAGTGATTTCAAGACAGGATCTGTCATTCTCACAACTGAAGGGTTGTTTGTTTTTTTTTAAAGGCAACTTTTCTTTTGCTTTGCCTTTGTTCTAAGCAAATAAAAACTGATAAAAGAAGAACATACAGCAGTCTCTGCTACCTGTATGATCCCTTCTTCTCACAAGCATTTAGCCTTAAAACTAATTATATTTACTTCACATTCTGAGGTCCCTTTTTCAAATATTTACTGAATTCTAACAGGTGAAATAAAGTCTGTTTTAGATTGAACTTCATGACAATCCTTTCAAAAACAGAGCTTATAAAAGTTACATCTCAAACTACAGATAAAGTTCAACTTTTTAAAAAAATCAGTGCAAAAAATAAAATTGTTACAAAAAACTAAAAAACAACCAGTATTTTTTAGACTGTGTCTCTTCAGATTACAAATATGTCAGCGTACTTACTGTTTTGTCTAACAGTGTTAAAAGCATGCACCTAAATTCAAGGCCTCAGGAACAAGTTAAGTAACATGATGCTTTGTATATAAGTGATATTTAATCCTAGACTTTTCAGTTGATTTGAAATAACTAATAAATATGTTACTGGAAAACTTCATAATTTTATGGTAACAAAACTCAGGCTTCAAAGAGGTAGATTGCTTACAAACTTCAGAGTAGCTTTTTACATAGCACATCTTTTCCCCAACACCTTAATTTTCAACTAGAGCATGTAGTAGGAAAGGTTTAAAAAAATCATTTAACTGCTTTTGACAGAAAATTGGGATCTTGATGAAAGGAAAATTTATTTTTGAGCTGTGTCTTTTCCAAGGCAAATGTCAACAACTTAAAAAATAAACATAAAAAAAGCCAAAGACTTAAAGGGAGTAGACAACATTTAAAAATGTCATCATAGTGGCTCAGTAGGGGTGTAGCTCACATGATGGTCTCTCTCTATGAACCCGGCTCTTGGCATGCAGAATGACAATGGGAGAGTGATATACTGGAGTTAAGACACTGATCCAAAAGGCACAGAGAAGCATAGTTTAACTATATTCTCCACACTCTGTGATGCCCTGCAGTATTTCACAATTAAAATATTCAACAATTTCCAACTAAAATTTTCCAACTTTTGATTTCCAACACTGAGTTTACTTCTGACCAAATCTAAAACTTGGGTGGGCAAAAGCCAGCCACAAGAACAACCAACACGCCTTGGTCTCTGCAAGGACACGGCAGGATAGGTTGGTGTCACTGAAGACAGATACGTACATAGGATAAATATGGTTCACTCTGCCCACTAATTTTCAACCTCTGTGCCTCAAGAATTGTTTGCTCACACGTTTTTTTAAAAGGAGAAGAAACAACCACCTAGAAAATCCATATGAATTACCTTAGAATCATAGAATAGTTATGGTTGGACAGGACCTTAAGATCATCTAGTTCCAAATCCTCTGCCACGGGCAGGACCACCTCACATTAGACTATGTCACCCCCTTAAGGCTCTGCTCAACCTGGCCTTGAACATGGGCCAGGGATGGAGAATTTACAACTTCATTAGGCAACCCATTCCAGTGCCTCACCACCCTCACAGTAAAGAATGTCTTCCTTGTATCTAACCTGAAATTCCCCTGCTTAAGTTTAAACCCATTACTTGTCCTATCACTACAGTCCCTGATGAAGAGTCCCTCCCTGACATTCTTGTAATCCTCCTTCAGATACTGGAAGGCTGCTATGAGGTCTCCATGCCGCCTTCTCCGGGCTGAACAGCCCCAAGTTTCTCAGCTTATCTTTATATGGAAGGTGCTCCAGCCCCCTGATCATCCTCATGGCCCTCCTCTGGACTTGCTCCAAAAGCTTCTAGAATACATTTTTCCTCTGAAAAAAAGTAACTATATAAAAACAATGTGTTTTTTTCTGAGCAGACTTGTCTTTCTAAACAAAACCATTTGCTCTGTCAGCTCAGAAAAGGAAAATAAAGAGAAGATGGGCTTTTCTTCTAGTTCTCATGACACCAATAGAGCAGTATTTCAAATACCAAATACAGAGTCACAGATATCTTTTTACTAGTGAAAATTCTTAAAAATCTAACACCTGTCTTTTAAGCATACAGACCTTTTCTCATAAATGATACAGCTTTTGATTTAATATCCTCTCTCAGCTGCCTGGTTTTAGTCAGGTATTGCAAAACATAAACATTTGGAGCAAAATTGATCATATTTTGTTCACCACAGCCATAAGGCATCTTAATCAATGACGACAAACCGTTGATAGAAGGCCCAAGTAAATCACCTGAAATATAAAATGTCATTAAAATAAATTAAAGCTTATTGCAAATAAATGCATACCTCACACATAAAGGGTGGTAACATCTAAACTGGAAGAAAATATGCAACATTAAGAACTTTTGTACTAAACACCACTAAACAGGTAGAAAACATACTTCATCTTCTGATCTGCTTTGTGCCTACTTACATTCCAACTATGGGGTAATTTCAAACAGCCACCATTAAGACAAGCAGAACTAAAAAAGGATACTAGCAAGCTTTGCAGGACCTTCCTTATTGAACTCTGACTCCCTCTGTAACTCTGAAAATGGATAGCAATACCATAATATTGTAAATTAAATAAAGAAATAACACACTCCATCCATAAGGTCTTCCTATTCTTAGTCTAATGCATGATGTTAAATTATTTTTAATTAATGATTCAGCCTATTAATATCACTTAAATAAAAATAAATGTAGTTCCCTAAAAACCTATAAAGCAACAGCCTTTCTGGGCAAAATCTTGCAAGGGTCCCTGGAAGCTCTAGCAAATCCTGCAAGGATAGCTCAGGTTATTAGACACCACCCTTTCTGCTATACTTGACAGAGTTTATTACTTCTAGTTACTACTAGCAACTGCTCTGTTCTTTAAAGACCACCTACACCTGCAATGCAGAAGATGACAGCAGCTGGATTATGAACATACACGTTAGAAACTGGGTTCAACAAAAGCCTAGTGGGCAAAAAACTATTAAAAAAATATAGCTGACCAGTAAATAATAAAGATGGAAAAGGAATAAGGTAATCCTTACCAACAGCAGTGACCTGCACTCTCTCACTGCCACTTACAACATCAGAAGGAAAAGTGAAATCCAAAGTTTTTGACACTGATCGTGGCTTATTCCCAGTCAAATCCAAAAGGACTGTCTGAGAATACGTCTGTTCCAATCCTTCAGCCTATTAAAATAAAGACAAGATCATTGTATTAGGATAGGAGTTGGGTGCTTACCGCACTGAAGGATCTAAAAACAATGTCAGGTATTTTGTGCTGCTTACTAACACATCCAGAACCTAAGCTATTGGCCTGCCCAATTAAAGACCTACCTGCACTATTTGCTTCTCAAGACCACGTGTCAATGACAAAAATGCACCTGCAAAATCAATGACGGCATCTCTGATTCCAGAGAGCTCCATGCTTGGCTCCGTGGCCAAGCACATGTCAAGGCTGGAGGTGGTACCTTTCATGCTGTTTGCAATTCTACAGGCTGTTACACAAAAGGAGGACTTAAAACTGAAGTAAGGTACATGACCAGAAAGGTTTCATTTCCTCATGCATGCAAAATCCTAGAGTACTGCTTTCAGGTCTGGGTTCCCCAGCATAAGAAGGATGTGGACCTGCTCAAGCAAGTGCAGAGGAGGGTCACAAAGATGATCAGAGGAATGGAGCACCTCTCCTGTGAAGACAGGCTGAGAGATTTGGGCTTGTTAAGCCTGGAGAACAGAAGGCGCAGGGGAGAACTGAGAGCAGGTTCCAGTACCTAAAGGGGGGTGATAAGAAATCTGGAGATGGACTTCTTACAAGGGCATATAGCGACAGGACAAAGAGGAATGGCTTTAAACTGAAATAGGGTAGGCTTAGATTTGATAGGAAAAAATTTTTCACTGTGAGGGTGGTGACACACTGGAACAGGTTTCCTGGAGAAGTTGTGGCTGCCCCATCCCTGGAAGTGTTCAAGGCCAGGTTTAGCAACCAGGTCTAGTGGAAGGTGTCCATGCCCACGGCAGGAGGGTTGGAACTAGATGGTCTTTCAGGTCCTTTCCAACCAAAACCAGTCTATGATTCTACAATGTTTCCTTGAGAAAAACTGTCCTTGAGACAGGGAAAATAAATGGGTTTCTTTCCTAGTATAACAGGCTTTTATTCACTTCACACAACAACTGAACTTCAACAGAAAGGGCAGTAAGTGGCTCCACCTGAAAACAGCTCACAACCCTGCAGCTTAGTGGTTGTAAGTGGTCTAAGGAGAGGCTGCAAGAGCTGTCCCTGTTCAGCCTGGAGAAGAGAAGGCTCAGGGGAATACCATCAATGTGTATAAATACCTGAAGGGAAGGGTGCAAAAAAGACGGAGCTAGGCTCCTCCCTGTGGTGCCCAGAAGCAGAATAGAAGGCAATGCACCCAAATAAAAGGATACTTTTTTGACTGTGAGGATGTTGAAACAAAAAGGTGCCCAGGGATGCTGTGAAGGCCCTCTTCTTGGGAACATTAAAAACCTGACTGTGCGGAGTTCTAAGATTCCTGCTGTAGCTGATCCTGCCATGAGCAGGAAGGTTGGTCTACTTCCTTTCAACCCTGATCATTCTCCAATTCTATGGCCTTAAGCATTTGTTTTAAGGATGAGATGTACAAATATTTACCACCTTCCACTGAAATAGAGTCTAACATGAATCAGATGTCTAAAGTTAGGCAAGTCTTACCAGTTTCTGCTTTATTAGAACATCTGGGGACTAAATTTTCATCAACAGCAAAATAAAAGAACGTTCATATAAAATAGGCTTTGAACTAAAGCCAGGTATATGGAAAAATTGTTTGCACTTATCTACAACACAGTTATCTGGTTCGCTCTCCACAGATTATTAAGCTAGCTGTAGTACCAGGAGTTCTCTGATGCACAAGTAAGTTTCACCTTGCTTTCAGAAGCATTTGACACACACTCTGCTGTAGAACTGGTCTATGTGTTCATTTGTGGAAGGGGATCTAAAGAATTTTAAAGGAGAAATTATTTAAAAAGTAATGTTTTCTACTTAGAGCCACCTGACCTGAAACCAACCTTAAAGAGCAAGAGGCAGACAAGTAAAGTGCAGACAAGTAAAGGTAAACAAGTGCAGCCTTTTTGCTGCACTCTGTTGTCTATTTTAGGAAACAATTTATTTCAAGAACAAGCCAAGCTGCAGACTGTTTACCTTTACTAAAACTTTCTGGATGATAGCATCAGAAGCAGCAGATGATATTGCTGTCACTTTGATGGGAATCTCTCCCAGCTGTTTTGGTTTGATTGGGAATTGAACAGTTTTCCCATCTTCACTTGGTACAGACACAGACTGTTGATTTTCGGTTGCATTTATTTCATTGGATGTTAGAATGATTTCAAAAGCATCATTCATATCCAGGATCACAGTAACCTGTAAATACACAACATTTGCAATACAAAGCATTAATTTTTAAAAACTGCTTTCAGAAGCTGCTAACTTTTTTTGTGTATAGAGAAATAGTTTTATGGCCTGCACACTGATGAAAATATCATCTCACAAAAGAAAGACATGGTCTCCGCCAGTGATGAAAACCCTGCAGTGTTTAGTAATATTCAAGTACAAAAAGACAGTTATTTTACCTCAGCTTCCTCTTTTAAATAATTAAAGATGTTCACTTCCAAAATGAACTGCTCTCCTCTGATGACAGAGTATGGAAGGTTCAGGAAAATGAAGAACGGTTGAAAAGCTTCTAGCTGCAAAACAAAATCAGCAGTGAACCCCTACAATCAGATACTAGAAAGAAAATGACTACACAACTTGTCTTCTGATCACTTTAAAATTCAGATGACAGAACATGTTTGCTTGTATGCTACAGTTAAGAAAATGTATTGCTGCAGAGCTCAAGCACAAGACAAAGATGCCTGTGGTCATTTGAACCTTTGTGGGTGCCATTCAGGTGAGAGCTGCTAGGACCAAAAGCCTATCATCTGGCAAAACTGGAAGCTGTGATCTGTCCTGAGACCACATTAAGGTTAACTGTGAACTGTTTTGTCTGCTAAAGTAATGGATGATCAAGAACCTGTCAGCTGCCCTATCTCCATGTCAATATACATGCTGGAATACAAAATCACTAACTCGTCTAAATTCTGTAATTCACCGACACTTCAGAATTATGTGTTATTTTGTAAAACTAATTTTGGTATAAGCTCTTTAGTTGTACTTCTAAAAATACATCTCTTCTTAATTAAAACTGCAGGAACATATCAGAAATCAGTTACTTTTATCTGTGAACAGAGATTTTTGGATTAAGTCTTGGCTCTAAGAAGCCAGTGGTAAGCTCTCATCAAGCTCAATGGTATCAGAATTTCACTGTTTATGAACATCTATAAAATACGAATGGCTGAAGCATAATATCCTTTATTACTGAAATGTCAACTAAAAATGGTTGGTTTTCATTAAAAGAATTCTTCCAAGTGTTTTGAGTTTCAGATCCAGAAACCCTCAGCTTTCTTTCTAGCTGGCAAATAGTCCAATGTTTTCTTTTTAAAGCTTTGAAAAGTAGTTTGCTAAAGCTTTCAGTGTCAAAAACTTCTTTAGATATCAGACATAAGAGAAATTCTGATGGAAAATTTTTGGCTACTTCTTAGTTGAGATTTTCCCTATGTAGCTATTTTCTTTGTCTTTTTTTTTTGTTTTGCTTATCTTTAACACTCTTGCAATCCTAAAGTTTTACACTCAGGAATATTCCTGTATATTACAACAAAATATGATAGAGCAAAATTATTGACACACTGTGTAGTAGAAGTCTAATAAAAACAAGATGCCAAGCAGTAAACTATATTAAGCACACGGATGTCACTTGTTTATTTCCCTGTTGCAGTTTTCATGCATTTCTTTTGTTTGCTTCTCTGTATGGTACTGATTAACATGTTTCAGCCATATGGAACTACAAGCTCAATCTAAACATCCCAATGTGGGTGAATTACTGAACAGTGCATGTGTGTGATTATAGTTTAAAATCTCAACATCTGTTCTACTTTCAGTCTTCTCAAGTTTGAGGATGAGATGCCAAGGATATATTTTCATACTGTTTGAATCATAAAACTATTCCTCTTTCTCTCCCATCTCTGCCAAGCCGAGTGAAAGAAATGAGAATCATGATTCCAGTCTCAAAGGAGCCTTAGCTGCAAAATCCAGGTCAGGCTCCAAATTCTGTGGTGAAGTTACGATCAGGATGTTCAAAGCGTATGTTCTGTGTCTGGTGTAACAGTCAACTATGAAATCTGTACCTAGATCTCAGTTTGGATCCCAAAAGTTGCCTCTCCCCAAGAATTTGAGGGGAATAGAACTGAAATGGGTAAATGCCTGTCTCCAGTCTATGCCTGCACTAGTCCTGGCATGAAGCTGGTAATCTATGACCCAGTAGTGCAGTTTCAACCTCTCTAACATTAGGCACTGAAGTGGAGTTGTCTCAGAAATATAGTTTCTCTAGGTCTTTACATAATGAATAGAAGGATATAACTACCTTCAGATGATCACGCAACATACGTAAAATACTAGCTAAATGACACTTTCATAAGTAATTCCTATTTTAAACAGGCTAAATAACTCTAAGTAGCTGTTTCCATAAATATAGAGTGATCCTAGGACAACTGCAGGTGTATGTGGGGAATCTCAGGTTAGAGATCTAACCTGATGTTAGTGCTGAGAAGGGATGAATTTAGCTTAAATCACTAAACTCCTTGAACACCTGGAAACACAAGAGCCTCAGAAGACAGGAACTTGGCAGCAAGAAGCATCTCATCCCACCACTGGCTCTCAGTGTCCATTGTGCTCCTCAAGCTAAGTCACCCAAAAAGTAACACCTGTGTTTAGTCCAAGACTGGTTTTGACAGATAAATTAAAGCAAGAGCAGAATCCTCCCATCCTCCCTCCTGGGTAAGTGTTAGCAGAGCAGCACAATGGCATGATCCTTCCAGCCTCTCCCATCCCAGCCACCTCCTCCCAGCTAGTCTGTACAAACGTCCCTGCATGTACTATCAACTCATGGAAAGCCCTCTTGGCAGAGCCAAGAAAACATGGAAACACACTATCCTCAGACAGTCAATCTCTGCTTCTAAGTATGAAAATGGCATATCCTGAGAGTGCTCTAATAAAACAACTGCTCCAACACAAACGGGCACACAAGCATCTGTGCGTCTGAGAAATTTACATGAGCAGGAAGGGGAGGCAGATACAGTATCACCTATGTCTTCAGTCATAATGTTTTCTTTACAGTTTGAATACACATGGCTTCTCAGTCGCTTTACTAAGTATAAGGAGATAGCTGCTGTTCGAACTAAAATAGAGCATCCAGTAATAACCTACAGTGTTACCAGCATTTAAAGGAGAATTGTCTAGTGCTAAGGTACCTCCACAGGAGCAGTTGTCACTCCAAGCCCGCTGTTTTCAGACATCACAAAAGCACTGGCTACCCAGGATGTGATGGTATCAGGTACAGTGACTTCCATTGTGGTGTCCGTGTCTGATCTGATGGCAAAAGGGTAGAGACTTTCAAAAGCATCCATTTACAGACACCAGTAAGTGAACACAAATGTTTAAAATGCATCAAAAATTAAGTCCAAACTCTTGGCAGGAAAAGCTGCTGATTAACTGTTCTTCTTTTCCTAATTATTTAAAAAAAAATGTGATGGAATCAAAATGATTTAAAAAAATTAAACTATTTTAAATTACATGTATTGAAGGTAATTACATTTAATCACATTACATGTAATCAATTTTTACTTTTTCCTTTAAAACAATCCCAGATGAAGGTTTCTTCCTGAACATCTCAACTGTGAAAGAATATGAAACTTGTGCTGCACAACACAGGTCAGATTTCACCATCATTTGACAGTTTGAATTGCTGACTGAATTAGGTGCAGACAGGAACAGGTTTCCCTTTCTGGGCTAATCACCATCTTCTCATGTACTGTAGAGAAAAAGACTGGGTCTCTCTATCTGTTATCTCCCCATCTGTAAAGGGATGAGAGTTTCTTTTGTCGCCAGGGCTTTTATTTAGTTTCTACTGAAACTACAAGGCCCTCAGTCAGGCACTGTCCTATTTTGTGCAGTTGTGAAACACCCCATGCGGTGGGTCTCCAATCTCACTTGTGGCCTCTAGGTGGTAGCAGAATATAAGTAATACTACATTTTAAAGCTATCCTCTTCAGCACTAGTGCAGAACGCTAAACTACAAAACAACAACGGGAAATGTAAATCAGTTTCCGTTTGCTTCTAAGCTCATACCTAGTTTTAGTGTCGATCCAAAGCCAAGTCTCTGGAAAATGTGTCCGCACATAGAGATTGCTGAAATCAGGAGGTCCATTTTTAGATACTGGCATATCATCACCGAAACCATCCTCTATGGGTATCATTCCACCATCTACAAAACAAAAAATGACTATCCTACTTACAAATATCTAGGTTTAACAAAAATCAAATTAGTAGAATTAATAAAAGTCAAATTAATACAGTGTTTGGATTATAATCTATACCTTTGTTACACATGGTAACACTACTCCCATCACATTAGGAACTATTTATTTTTTCTTGCTTGGGTTTTTGGGGGTTTAATAAAAAAAGTTTCACACAAGCTTAAATTTCTACCTGACCTTCCTGGAGTGCTTATGGAACTGGTGTAATATGCCTACACATGACAAACCACTGCAGCACGTATCAGCTGGAACTGCAAACAAGAACTCTGTCCACCCTCAGGCCTTGAAGGAGTAGTGGTGCTCAGGACAGCAGCAAAAAGTAAGTTTTTTACATAGTAGTCCTATGCATTTTGTATGTCTTGAGCCTTGGAAATGGTAATAGTTTGTAAGGCTGGATGCAGCCTGTACACAGTACTGCAAGAAGACCTAATAGGGGCTCTAACCCACAGACCTCCTTCCCCACTAAGTAAATTAGATTTGGCTAATTTATTTTTATTACTTACAAAGAAAATGCTCCTTATCCTCCTCAAGAATTGCATCAGTTGATACCCAAAGGCTGCATTTCTGGATAAAATTTATACAGTATATCTCAATACAGGACATTCAGGACATCAGCAGTGCTTATCTATTTTCCTTTTTTTTTTATTTCTTTTTAAGAAAATAAAGTCATAAAGCAATTACAGAACTAAAGCAAGGAACCGAGAAAACTGAGATCATCTGAGTATTGCATTTAATACCTGAAAACTTTTCAGAGGGAAGGCAATATCAAGCACAAAGCAATCTGTATTTATGAAAGTATAAACATATTTCTTTGCATTCAGATTATTGATAAATTTCTCAATTTAAAACTCATATAAGCCATGAAAACAGTATATTGTCTACAATCTCAAACTTCAAAAAGGGCATTTACTTCTAAGCAGCGATTTGCAAATCACTAAGCAGTAAAACACCCCAGCTTAGAATTAAAATAGAAAAATTAACAAGTACCTGAAAGACACCAAAAGAACCTCTGACCAGGGGGAAATATTGCACTGTGCTGTATAAATTGAGCTCATGGAACACCTAAGACAAAAAAAACCAAAATCATCCAAAGAGTGAATGCAAATTCACATTTTTCAGAACTTTCACTGTTGTAGGTGCTAATTCATAGAGCTATGCCTTAAGCATCAGCTTGCTTAGCTCTCCTTGGTAAACAGAAAAGAATCTGTGACAGGATGAAGCAGATTTGCCTGCAAAGGTTTCGTAATCAATGGAAGAGTGACCAAGACTATATAAGCCTAAAATAGGAGCCTACAGCCCACTGATATTCTATGGCACTTAGGCCATGTCATTTGAGCACTTTAGAAATGACGCATATTGCAAGCTCTCCCAAATTGTTGATGCACTAGAGCTTCTGCAAATAAAGGGAATTCAAAAAGATGAGTAATTTATTCTTCAAAAAATAAAATTATTTCTTTATTTCATATTGCTAATTTTAAAGAGCACAAAGAACAAACCATTAGGAGTTTTTTCTTTTTTCTCTTTCCTGAATGAAGGAACTGCCAAGTGTTAACAGACCAGTTTCTCAACATAAAAACAATCAAATATTAGTTGGAATTAGAAATGCTGGGGTTATCACTTTGTATGCCTTACTGTCTTTTCCACTTATGTTGCTAAACTACTTGCAAAACTAAAAAAATACTTACTAAAAATCCTGCCCAAAGAATATTACTCGTTCAGAACATAAACTGAAACTTTTCCATAAACATATATCTTTCAAACACACAATAATGAAACCTTTTCTCTCATTCACTTACAGAATCTTCTGTTATGTCACTAGCTTCTCCTAGAAGCTTTGCACTTTTATCAACGACTGCAAGTCCAATTACTGATCCTGGTTCTGTTGTACTGATTTTAAGGGAGACTTTCTCAGATGGCTTGACCTTATCCTTGCTCCAAGAGATTTTAATCTAGAAAAAGGTAAAAAACAGCACTGGTTTAAATTATACACTGATATTTACAGCCACTAAGCATTTTCTTAGCTTAATTTGCTATAATTAAGACTCTGGATTTGCTTTTCCTAGGACCTTTGAGAAAATACTACAGCACTCATTTTGCTCTCCTGCTCTGTTAACACACCAGCTCCTTGGACTGGTGGGAAGTCAGCATCAGGATCCACTGTCATTTCAACCAGCTTTTAGAATACAAGAACCAATCTCTTCAGGCACAAGGATACACCAGTTTCTACAGCTGAGGACAGTAAAAGAAACACATCTGCAGTTTATCAATGCACAACACTGCATGTAATATCTTTAGGGAAAGGTTACTTGGGGAGGATTATTCAGCTTTCAAAGATTACAAGTGTTCCACAGTGAAATCAATACAGAAAAGGGTATAAATAATAAGTGCATGGGTAATGAAGAAGGAAACAGAATAATACAGCTCCAGCCTTCCCCAGGGTACTGAAGAGAGGAAGAGTGATCTACTTAAATTATTTCTAATACACCTCATCGCCACTACAGCAGATGACAGTGCAGAATTTCTGTTTGAAATAAACAGTTTTACTATTTTCCTTCATCAAAACACCCCTACTACAAACACTTGAGGTGGAATTCAACTCCACACTTAAGTTACTTACATTTAGTTGTCCACGTTTCAGTTCAGTTTTTAAGCTCCCATCACACAGTTAAAAGAGATAATGGAGGCTAGAAAGCACTTTGGCTCACCATAAAGCAGAAAATCCAAGTGGTGGTCAAAAAAAACAGTCCTACCGGCTCCACTGACAATACTGGCTGTGGGTGGGATTCAGTTACATAAACACTGACAGTGCCATTTGAGATGTTCAAAGGTATCCAAGACATATCCAGTGGTGCTGCCAAATGACACATAACTTTTCCTTCTGGAGCAGGCTTCAGGAGTCCAGGAAGAGTAGCTTAAAACCACACTCTCTTTTGGGGCAACTGTTTTTCTGTAAACTGAGTTCAGACACCTAACTCAGATACAGAGATGAGACTCGGTCACCTCAAGACATCTGGAACCACTTGGGATGTCCCACGGCACACTGTCTGACCCTCAGCTCCCATTCCAGAAAGGGACAGGTCCGCCATAGGACCTTTGAAATGCCCATTCATCCCATGATGACACCTTGAATACTCAGTGGCCTCTTTGAAGACACTAGATGTCTGTGCTTAAGCAACCAAATCCTGACTCTACATGTAAATACATGAATTTATAGATGTCTGAATCTACAGCCCCATCATACCTTTCCTCTGATAAATCTGTGTAGCGGTATCTTCCAAGCACATTCAGTATGAAAATCGCAGAGCAACAGCAAACACATTAATGTTGACAACATAAATGGGATTAGCTCCATGTGCGCTTCACTGTAAATGGTCATCAGACTGATTCACACAGAAAAAACGGTTTGTTTCTAGGTAAACTGTGGCACTGCAGCTCTGTATATTCGATTTTACCAACTCATTTGCAGAAATAAAATGCTTGGCAAGGCTACGCATTACAGAGAAAGTAGCTTTCCACAGTCCTGAGTTAATTTCAGGGGCTAGTGTTGAAATGGCAAAATGGAGAAAGCTCAAAATTTGAAAGCCTTTGAGAAAGTAGCTTTCCTTATCTTACATTTTTTTCTCCATTCAGTGAAATATAGAAAATACAGTAAGGTTAATATTAAATTCTCACAATTTATTGTCTCAACTGTTCATCCTCTCTGTATATACACTAGGATTATGTTTTTCATCCAAAAACTACATCTAAACAAACTGGTATCAGATCAAACTTTGCCTCATTGCTAAAAACATAATGTAATCTTATCTGTGAACACTTCAATCAGTGAAAAGTTTTCAATTTGTTTGCAGAAGACTGAACCAAATTGTTATGCCTTCCACATTAACAATACCTTCCTGCATCTACCCCAAATTTCAACTAAATTATCTTGTTTTCTGTTTGCTCAGATTCTTCAGACAGTGGTACATAATAGCCATAATCAACAAAGGTGTGTCTGCAGCCCTCTCACCATCCTGCCTTTACACTTCCTTATCTTGTGAGAACAATGCTCATAACCTGAGTTTGGATAAATCATGAAGTGAATGGATAAATTTTTCATGCAGAAGTAAGGCAAACAGCCTCCCTACCAATGTCTGGTTAGAAGCATTAAAGTTTCCATGGGGGAGGAAGAACCTGAACCCATGAAGAGCCTTTGAGCAGTCTCACCTGTAAAATGTCACAGTGAGGCTTCTATTTGCACAAAGAATCAAATCTCACCCTGATATGTAAGCTGGAAAAATCAATTCATTGCTGCAGTAGTAATTTTCCCACTCTTCCTCATGCACTTTTGAGTTAAAGTACATACAGTCACACAAAACACAAGCACTGGTCACACCCACTGATGACATACCACATACAATGTGACCACTGCCTGGCTAGAAGACAGTCTTCATCAATGTTCATAGTTCCACACTTAGAGGACTTATAAGTACCTTTCCACTATATTTGCCAGAGCAACCTATGGCTCAGTAACTGACCAAACTATTAAATATAAAACGAGATGCTGTTTATGTGGAAAACATAGGGCTAGTAGAAATTTCTTTCAGATACGCAACAGCTGGACCCTAACTGCACTGGCATTATCAGAAGTCTTTCCAAGGACACAAACCTCAGATTAGATCCTCTATGAGGAATTTTTTACATTTACAAACCTATGATCTAAAATACTGTTTACCATGCAATAGATAGATAAAAACATGGTCTCAGACTCAAGTTCAACACAGTTACCTTGTCATCCAACACAGGCTGAATGGGGACAGTGAGCGCATCATTTACAACCACTCCAAGCTCATCAACGTAGAATACAAGTATACATGCCAAAGGAGCCCAGGAATTTTCTGCTGTTAAAGTGAATGTTTTTGCAGTCTTTGTGCCAAAAGCCATAATTTGTTCCTTAGATAACACCTTAAAGGGAAAAATTAAAAACGCAATCTGTTGATATTTCAATATGTAGTAAACTCTGCAATTCCTTCTACAAATAGCTGTTAAAAGAAGTAGCATATAGCTGTAATTTTTATTAAATTGTTGACCAGTTCTGTGAGACTGGGTATGGAACAGGCTAGTAATGTAATACTTAAGTATTAGAAATAGCTTTTTTCTGTGCTTTAATTTCTGTATCACCATGGACAGGAACTACAACAATGAGTGCACAGCATAACATGACATGAGAACATAAAAACACAACACTAATAGGACTGAGTCATGTGGGTCATCTATAATAGCACTTGAATTTGGATCAGGAAGACACAGAAAGAAAACCTCCCAAACACTCATAATTAACACACACTGCACCATGGAAAGTGTGAACCAGGGCCCACTAACATATTCCAGTTAAAAACCGGCATTCATCAGATTACAGCTAGTCTGAAGGTACCTCAAAACATCTGGAGTTTTTTCACTTTTTTTCAACTTTTTTTCAACATTTTTCACTCTAAATCTGTTCCTACTGGGCCATTCCACTTACTAATGAAGACAGAGCTATGAAGGGTAGTTCCTTGTCCTTGACTGCACAGACCTGATTCTTTTTAAGTTTTCTAGAGAGTATTTCTATTTTAGAAAACACACTTGAATCCCCACATTTTATACTGTCATATGGTTTTCCTTATTCAATTTACTATTAAAAGTCTCTGAAAGAAAAAGAACTGTAGTTATTATGATCATTATGGTAAAGACTGTGCACAAGACAGGCATGTGTTAAGGACAGGATGGGAGACCATGATGTATAGATAACAAACCCTTCAATACATATGCTGTAAAATGCAACACAGCAGCTGAGCCATTAAACAAGCCTTTACTCAAGCCTTGTATTTAAAAAACGCTTCCTAAGAAGTTCCATTTTTAACAATGCCACCCTGCCAAAGACCATGTCTTCTCAGAGGCAGGTCTTCTCCTCACCTTGTGCCTGAGGGTTCAGCCCTGACAGTCCTGAACTTGTGTAAAGCTTCTACCTGCATCTGCAGGACCTGCTGGCAAGCCCCAGCTTGGGCTGCTCCTGGGAGATCCCTGACCCTTCTCACATCACTTCATCCCGTTCCTGTGCTCTGCACAGCATTGCTCTTGCAGTTGTGTCTTGTGTTACACAGCTGCAAGCAGAGATAATCCAACAACCAAATAAGAGACATGTTTCTTCCAGAAAGCACCTCCCTATAGTGCCAGGGGCCTTTCTGCTAGGTAGCAAAATGAAAGTCTCAAAAAGGTCCATTCCAATGGAAAGCAAGTTCTGGGGCCACCTCTTTCACAAACCACAATAAAAAAATCTGAATCTCTCTAACATCCAATCACATCCCACTCACTGGAGTATTTGTCAATTTGGTAAAAGTCATCTTGGATTGTCCCCATATGTAAAACAAGTAACTTACCAGATAGTGGAACTCTCTCACTGGCTTGTTGCTTGAAATGCTCAGCTCAAAAGGTTTCCCAGCCTAGGAAAAGCATCAATTCACAGAGATGAGTATGAAAACATGATGAGTAACTTGAATAGGTTCTTAACTTGGCAAGTTTTGTCTCAGACTGTACCTTTATATCCTGGCTTTTTGTTTTAACCTGGAGATAAGTCTGGCTGGGGGAGCTGAACACATCATAAACACCTATGTCGGTCCTACTGCTGAGGAACTCTGCCTGCATGGCAATGCAAAACAAATCTCTTTAACAAAACAGCAAAATCAATGTGATGTTCACATATATGGTACTGTTTACAAGAGTACGGTAGCTTCAATGGCAGTACAGGATCACTTTACTGCTTCCTTTAGGTCTCTCTTTTGGGTTTTTTCCCTTGATATCTTGGTGCAATTAGACCACATTTAGATGGGATCTGTCACTTTCTTTCCAGCTCTAACATGAATACGAGGTAAGGAAAGTAATACTAGGTGACATATCAGCTGTTGCAGAGGGCAGGAATAACATATCATTGATCACAGCCTGCTCAATTTGGTGTCCCACAGCTCCAAAGCAACATATTACAAAGCATTACCTGAACTCTCAGAGTTTTTGTATCTGGCAGGATTGGAAACTCAACATCAATTATTCCATTTTCTGGCACTGTGTAATTCAGCACATGGACTGTCAGATTTCTCTCCTCTGTTGCCTCGTTCTCAAGGTGTGAAAGTGAAGAGTGGTGAAAAAGCAGGTCTGACTGTTGCGCAGTGATTACGACAAGATTCTGCCTCTCTTCAGCTGTCAGTTGGTTGCTATCAGAACGGGTCACCTTTAGCTAAAAAACAAAGAAAATATCCATCAAACAGGGTAAAGCTAAAATGCAAACACATAACATATAACAACGTATTTGCACTCATAGCATATCAAAAAGCCAAGGGCATCCTCAGATTTCTCACACATCAGTAACTTTATTTTTAATCCCTTGCGAACACTGCAGGTAGGCAAGTCAGCCAAGAACAAAATTATTTGTAACTCCAGGGAGTCAAAAAAGAGCAGAAGCAAAGCAGATGGAACTGAGTTCACTCTACTATCCAACAATCGATTAACTTGCATCAAGTCTTATCCCCATATTCAAGTCTAATCAACTCCAGATTCTCATCCATCGTAAATCCATTCTCTTTCTGCATTACACAGTCCGAAACTTCAACTTCTACTATTGAAAGCACCTAACTAATGTTTCCCTTTTTCAGTAAAAAGGTCTGTCATTCCATTACCCCTCCTCCTCTGCCATTATTTTCCTATCTTTTCTCTGTACAGCATATGCAGATCTCCACTTACTAGTGGAGATAATAACTATTAACACTTATTCCTTCACATTCCTCTGGGAGCATAACTGATACCTTCTTCCCTGCCAGCTGCAAGCATTGCTAAATGCCTCAGCTACCGCTCACTCAGATCATTTTTGGAAGAAGAAGCAGCAGGTCAGAGCTGGAGTCAAGCTAGGATCCTGGCAAAGAAAATAAAAAGGGCGAAAACCCAAACGATCGGGCTAGCACACAGCTATAGCTTGAGCCAATCTACTACGAAAGTGTATATGCAGCTTATTTTATTGGCATTTAGGTCTTGTTTCCATATAGTAAAGGCTCAAGAATTGTAAAGTCAATTCCCCTTTTCAAGTGAAATGCAGTAATGCAATATGCAACCTCTGCTAAATGTAGGAATACTGAATGCAGACTATGGACAGCATGAAGAACATGAAACTTCTGTGAGAGGACTGCAGCTGATATGAGAAAGACAGGACAAAAAAGACATTTTCACTTGAAAGCAATGTGGTTTGATAAGCTTTACTGAATTCTGTGGCAGCTGCTTAATTATATAGATGCCCTTTACAGAGTATGTATTTGTGTGCGTGTGCATATACACACAAAAATACAAATATAATTAAGAGGGTTTGGACTCAATAACTACTCTATTGTTCTAAAGCACAGTCACATAATGAAAAACAGATCAGCTAGAAAGTGAAAAGATTTCTCCACCAGTATAATGACAAATACACTCAAATACGTCCTGCAAACACTACAGCATTCCCTGCCTCCTTATCCTTTTCTAGAGCAAACGCCTCTAAGTTTAGTATTTGCCAATATGTATAACAAAAAAGAGGTAATTTTAAAACAAATCTGTAAATTATACTTAAAAGTCCAAGGCAAACTTTGTCGTCTAAATGAAAATAAAGAAGTTACATTTGCTTATGCACAGATCATAATAAAACGAAAGAACTTACAGTAGCTATGAAGTTCAGAGAAGGCTTTATAACTCTAGAGTAGTCCATAAATTCAATAAAATAGTCACTTTGCTTTGGAAATATGATGGTACTTGAATTTTGGGAGATTCCTGTTGAATAATTGTATGTGTTTAGACAACAAGCTTTTAACATACATATTCCTTTAGCAGCAATACCGGTTGCTGTTCCTGATTTTTAAATAACTCTCATATTTTTAACCATTTCCACTCTTATTGTTCTTCGCCTTTTCAGCTAAGGATTAGTACAAAGGTAACGTACATACTGGTACTGTCTTCACAAGGCCAAATAAGCCATATCACATAGTACTTTATTCCACACAGATTATGTCAGAATGACACAAGGAAGGAACTTACGAATCCCAGATCAGCCAACTTCACCTTGGTGGGGTTTCTACAGAAACTGTGTAATAAAACCGAGTTTCTGGGACAGGCAGAAATTTTTACAAACTATTTTTTTTCTAATATGCAATGTGCAGTGGACCACAAACTCACAAAAAGGCTCAGTTTGCAAATCAGCCAGTCTAGAAGAGGGGAGACAGTGAACAAAACGGGGCCAGAGAACCTTTTCTACTCCTGTGGTTTAGAAACAGAAAAGGTTAAGTTTATGATTAAACCTAAGTGTTTAAGATTCAGGCCAATTCTAGCAATTCTTTATGCCTGCTTTTCTCATCAAAAGGGATCAGACACTGACTTTAAGGACCCATCTGAGCATATTTCTTGGTTATTTAATAAATGATTTAGTGTAGAACTGTATTCAACCGAAGTTAACAGCTGGTTAAACTATTTAATATCGAGGCAAGCAACAGCTGAGATAATAAATTTTTTCAGCTAGTGTATTTGCATGTAGATGGTTCATACTGCCATCAGCACATGACACTTCTCTAGCGCTCCAAGCCTTCCACATAGCAGTAAGCTCTTCCAGCACCTACTCTCTGGATTTCTCTCAGAAGACATCACACAGACACATACCTGTGAGTGACTCAGTGACCACTGCAATAATTTCTATTGGGTCTGTGTAATCAGTGTCACTTTGGTGCCATGATCGATCAGTGTTCAAGCTTTGCAGCATAAGCTTGTTACAGGTTACATTCACAGATCCATTTATCTGCAACATAGAGAAAAAAAAATAAATTGTTGATCCAGCAAACCCAAGGACACCTTTCCACCTGCAACAGTTTATTTCTGGTTAAGTCCTGTAACTCTCCCCTCATACACTTTCCAGAGTGTCAACACCAGAAACTTAAGAACACTGATCTTCTGCTTTCAGAAAGCATTTTTATTAAATGCAGTACGAGTTCATTAGTTTTTAGAGTCAACAGTGCCTTATGGAGAAAGTTAGTTTTGGTTGTGGGTTTTTTTGTCTAATATCTAGAACTACCCACTTCTACATGGCAAGAACAGTGTCAAAATATACCATGAACAGTATCAAAAATATAATTAACCGGCCCCTGCCTGAGAAGAGGAGTTTACCCTATCCAGCATCTCTGAGCTCAGTTTCCAAAGGCTAAGTGCTGCTGAAGACCCTGAAGTCAGCCAGCTGCTTAAGTCAGCCAACAGAAAACAACAAGCACACCATTTAGCAGAAATTGAACCTGTTCGAAACACAGTCCACAGCTCAAAAATAAAATGCCTGATTTTGCAAAAGGATACCACTTTTAAGTTTTCAGATCCAAACTGCATGCCTTTTTAAATTTCATGCTCCAGGTTACAAATAATACCATATCTCCAATGTAATAACTAGGCAATTAGTACACAAAATGATCTAGTCTCTACCACACTAGAGCTCCATCTAGACAATTGAGGTGGTCTCCTCTGGCCTCATAACACATGGCTGCGTATGCAGGGGCACACACAGGGCCAGGGTGCACTCCTGGGCACAGGTCCTCTGTCACCTATGCTGCTACAGTGTCTTCTGGAAAGTTTTTCTACCTGGGCCAACTAGCACTCTCCAAAGTAATCTCTAGGCACAGTTCAAGGAACCACAGTGGCCAAGTATCATTCTCAACAAGCAGTCTGAATGTAGATACTTTATTCTGGAAATTAAAGAGAGTTTAACACTCTCAATGCAAGTCACTCCGTAGACCATGCCAGCTGAATTCAGCACTCAAGGATGGTCCCAGGAATATTAAACCTACGAAACAAGACACAGGCTTAAAGTCTACAAAGCTGCAAACTGCCAGCAGGATGCTCACCTCCATTGTTGTTGTTATATTTCTCTTGTTTGTCCAGTAAGACACAGAAAGGCAAGTGATTGTTACAGTTCCCTTTACTGGCTTTCCATACATGTACCTGAAAGACATCAATCAAAAAAACACTTCAACTCCTAGGCTTGGTCTTCTGCAGAGATTTCAAGGCAAAAGATTCTACTACAATATTTTTCCATGGCCTCAAACACAGCTAGAACATATCTTCAATTTGAAACATGGAGTTTCCAATACTCGGATAGGTTTATTGACACTAAAGTCAGAAACCCAAAACCTAAGATACATAGTGCTGCTCTTTTCTTCACACAAGCTCTATATACCTATTATTATGGGCTGTACAATGTAGGAAAGCTAATTACATTAAGCTAAGCTGGAAGCAAGTTATTGAATAGAACACCAATGCGGCATCATAACTAATACGCAGTAGAGTTAAAATGGGATGTGGGAAGTGCAAGTGTTTTGCTTCCCAAATGCTGCTAACACAAAAGATACAACATATTTGTACTCAAATTATTTACTAATCACAGTCCAAAGAAATCATGGCATTGTTACATGGCAAACATAATTTGCAGGCATGACAAACCTGAAAACTGCACCATATTCCTTATAATACCATTAACAACCTGCAGTCAGTGAGCAGTAATATTTCTTTTTGATATATTTTTCCAAGTTGTACATAACAAAAACCATGACATTATCATATTCAGACAGATAGGGAGGAAGGAACACGGACCCAAAAATCATTCTAGTCCATCAATAGCCATAAGCAAAAAAAAAAAAAAAAAAAAAGCCTCAAATTATACATTTTGAGCAAAGATTCAAGAACTTTTCTGAGGAAGGTAACTAAAAATATCTTGGCCATACTCTAGAAATACCTTTACCAGTCCAAAAAACCTAACTAGAAGTCTGAAAATCTAACATTCTTATAACAAAATCCAGAAACTGGAAATAGAATCATAGAACAGGGTTGGAAAGGACCTTAAGATGATCTAGTTCCAACCCCCCTGCCATGGGCAAGGACACCTCACACTTAACCACGTCACCCAAGGCTCTCTCCAAGCTGGCCTTGAACACCACCAGGGATGGAGCATTCACAACCTCCTTGGGCAACCCATTCCAGTGCCTCACCACCCTAACAGGAAAGAACTTCTTCCTTATATCCAATCTAAACTTCCCCTGTTTAACCCATTACCCCTTGTCCTGTCAATACAGTCCCGTATGAAGAGTCCCTCCCCAGCATCCCTATAGCCCCCTTCAGATACTGGAAGGTTGCTATGAGGTCTCCACGCAGCCTTCTCTTCTCCAGGCTGAACAGCCCCAACTTTCTCAGCCTATCTTCATACAGGAGGTGCTCCAGTCTCTCTCTCCAAGCCCTCCTCTGGACTTGTTCCAACAGTTCCATGTCCTTTTTATGTTGAGGACACCAGAACTGCACACAATACTCCAGGTGAGGTCTCACAAGATCAGAGTAGAGGGGCAGGATCACCTCCTTCGACCTGCTGGTCATGCTCCTTTTGGTGGGAAGCTAATTCTTACTAGAAAGCACTCTTTTAACATTCTAAATATAAGTTTTCATTTGACACTTAGAGACCCACGATAATTTTCCTAAGAGTGAGAGTGACAAATAGTATTAATAATTTACTTACTTTGCAGTGACAACACCAGTTACGTCTTCCTCTCTCAAAGAATAATATAATGGTGTTGTTATTATAACATCAAATTTTGGTAAAACTAAAAAAAAATAAAATAGAAAATAGAGAAAGCATTAAGTTCAAATAAGAAATAATAAATTTTTCCTTTTTTTTTTTAACTATTAAGGGTGAAATGTGTAATATGATAAAGCTTACTACAGTTTCCTAAGGAATATAAGGCAAGATGTACTTTTAACTGAACCCTGTACATGCCCCAGATAAAGACTTTTTGTTGAAAAAAACAACAGGAATCGTAACAGCAGCCTGCACACAAGCTTTTAAGATTGAAATAGAAAACTTTTAACTTATTCAGCCTTTACAGAATCATCAGCAAGCTTCATAATCAGACATTACACAGATACTTTGCCTGCATGATCCTGGAAAACAGAATCATAGAATCAACTAGGCTGGTGAAGACCTTTTAGATCATCAAGTCCAACTGTTACCTCAGGATTGCCAAGCCCACCACTAAACCATGTCACTCAGGGCAAAATGATCTCCCCTCAAGATCTCCTTTATAGCTGCCCCTCATGATCTCCACTCACAGCCACCCCTCATCTGACCCCCACAGTGGCCCACACTGTATAGCTGCCACCCCTACCCCCCATGGCCATCCCTCACACCCCATGGCTGCCCAGGCTCTCCCCTCAAGACTGCCTCTCAACCCTTATGGTGACCCTTCACATCCCATGTCTGCCCTTGCTCTTCCCTCTTGATCTCCCTTTATGGCTGCCTCTCCTCTCCCATAATGATCTCCCCTAATGACTGCGTCTCCTTTCCCCTCACAATCTTCCCTCATGACCACCCATTGTTTCCTCTCACAATCTTCTCTTATGGCTGCCCCTTCTTTCCCCTCATGATCTTTCCTCATGGCTGCCCTTCCTCTCCCCTCACGATAGCCCCTTATCCCTCATGGCCACCCCCCTACTTTCCCCTCATGGCCACCCTTCCTCTCCCCGCATGATCTCCCACATGGCCAGCCCTCCTTTTCCCTCACAATCTCCCCTCAAAGCCCTCCCTTCTTTCCCCTCAGGATCTCCCCTCATGGCTGCCCCTTCTTTCCCCTCATGATCTTCCCTCATGGCTGCAGCTTCTCTTCCCTCATGATCTCCCTTCATGGCTGCCCCTTCTTTCCCCCCATGATCTCCCCTCATGGCCACTCCTTTTTTCCCCTCACAATCTCCCCTCACAGCCACCTTTTCTTTTCCCTCATGATCTTCCCTCATGGCTACCCTTATAGCAGCTACAGAAAGTCCTAGAGGGTCCTGCATAACAAAATCATTTAACACCAGGCCCAGGCGGGAAATAAAACAAATACAATGCAGTTTGGATTGCATTCAGACTCCTCTGAAAACAAGAGTTTCAGTTCAGTCTCAGCACAGTAACCCTCCCCAGTAAAAACTATAATTGTAAAATATAAATAGATAGATAGATCAATACATAGATAGATAAGAGATAGATAGATAGATAGATAGATAGATAGATAGATAGATAGATAGATAAAAATATACATTTATTTTCTCAGAGACAATAACCTCATCTCAGAGTTGAAATGAGTATTATAAAGACTGCATGGCATCCAGACACTACAGTAGCAAGTCATTAAGGCTACCACGGATAAACAGGGCACCTGATAAGATGGTATTCTTCCCAGGACACAGAGTCACTCTCAGACAAGCAACAGATTCGGAAATTAAACTTTCTGGGGTTCATGCTAGGCAAGGGATGCTACTCCAGTGGAGAATCAATTACCAATTTTAGTTACTACTAAATGCCCTTAATACTTACCATATTCCATCACTTTAAAACTTTGATAATGAACTTGACCCTAGTGAAAAAAAATCACGAGAAAATAACTGCGGTTAGATCGACACTGGCATCTGACCATTCTAGGCCAAATCCCACCCATATTTAAGTTAAATTACAATTTCTGATATGATGTGATTTTCATCATGGCTCAACCATTATCAACTCCCATTACGAAGCTGCTGCAGGAACCAGTAGAATGTATTTGCACCACAGAAGGCCACAGAAGCTCACATGTGGCACGTTATAAGTACATATAATGATGAGCTTGTAGAGCTTCTTATCTGCAGACATCTACGCATGTCTGATTTCTGTATAAAAATCCCCAAATATCCAAGCCAGCTAGCATAAAGTTCCCTAGCATCAGTCATCATGATGAATCCTGACCAACTTACCAGCAGTATCTTTACTAGCTCATGTAAAATGAACGCAAGTTATCTCTACAGAAGTGAAGCTTTTGTCTATATAAAGATGATTTAAAAACATGTATAATCACAAGGTTCTTCATTTACTCAAAAGGTTGTATTGTCTCATCTCAGTTTTTGTTAGTTAAAAATCAATGCAAGAAATAAACAACTATATAATATATTTTTACTTGTGCTCTCTTCTATTTTCTTATTTTTCTAATTTTTTCACTTACTTCCTGATTTTCCTCAGGATGGTACCTAAAAGCATATTCTGGCATGTTTCTGAGATGTGGTACATGAGGCAATATATATGGCACACAGTTGGTATATTGATTTTAAGGCTTTTTTTCCACTCCCTGAACATTAAAAACTCAGCAGCTATTTTTGCTCTTCGGTACAATGACAGTTGACAAAACAGTCATGGTAGATGGCCACATAAATTTTGCTTTTTACTGTCTTACTCAATTATTCTTCCTTGCTAAAATGCAAGTAAATTCAAGTTGTGCCAGGGGAGGTTTAAATCAGACATTAGGAAAAGATTCTTCACCAATGGGTTATCACACACTGGAGCAGGCTGCCACCGAAAGTGGTTGAAATTAAAAGATGTGATGCCTAAGGACACAGTTCAGTGGCAGACTTGGCAGTGTTGGGTTAATGGTTGGACTCAATGATCTTAAAGGTCTTTTCCAACCTAAATGATTCTACAAGTCTATGCTTCTATGATTCTCACCAAGCATGTAGGTCATTTGTCAGCTGATGTGCAACCCTTGCTCAATGACTTTTTTACAGCATCATAGCAAAAGCTGCCATCAGCAGGGAAATGATATGAGGTGATTTACCAACATGCCTAGAACTGGAGCTCTGCATCTCAGCAGGGATCAAAATAGGGATTACACTGGAGCAATGATTTTCCAGAGGAAAATGTGAGCTCAGCTGGGCTGAAAGAATGGGCTGAGAAACCAAAGGAGTCTCCACTTTCCAAAGGACAGGAAGGGAGAGGCTCCTCTGAAAGCCTTGTTTACCTCTTCACTTAAGAGTCTTCTGAGAAATAAGGGAAAGATTGAGAAAGACAACAGTCTGTCACTAAGAGGCAGTTATTTTGAAACATTGATACTGAGCTTCTGCTCAATTGCATATGAGGTTATGTTCATGTGTAGCTCAGAAGTCTGATTACTTTGATTATTCCTGAGACCAGTGACATCACTGCAAGTTATCAAATGTGCTGGAGTATGTTAGATAACATGGTTTGAAATGTGGGGCAAGAGACTTAACCTGGATAACCAACTGCAGGTATCAGCAAGATTATGTCAGATGGGAATGAGTGTTTGTGGCAATAAAAGATAAACTAAGAAGTCCTGCATGAAAAACCCTAGAACCAGGATCCAGTCTGGAAACAATTATAACAGATGTCTCTTATCTGATCAATGACTTTGCAAATTAGGCATCTCAAAGCCCCTTATACTGCTATATTTACACCTTTCCTACAAAAGACTTCTATTAAAGTAAAAATCAGATTGCTACCGACTTTATTAGTAAGTCACTAATCACCAGTTTAACTGTCATATTTATATTCCCACGTTTGAAAAGATATAGGCAGAATCTGCTATTTCCACAATATCTGTGCAGATCCATAACCCTTACAACACAAAATCCTACTGCACTGACATGCGGTCTACAATCAGATTACTATCAGGTAATCTTCGGAACAGGTATTTTAAGAAAATAACCTATAGTGAATTTATCTCATGTCTGGCTCTCTCTACATCTTTTATTTCCAATGCTAAGCATATATATGTCATCCCTGACATTAAGCAAACCATGAACAGAACATTACTGCAGCTGGCAGGATGAAAAAACAACTCCCCGGAAAATTAAATTTTGTTTCACATTACCTCAGAAGTAAAAATAATCATCATCATCAAAATAATCATCATCATCATCATCATCTAGGAGAAGTGTAAGCAGCACAAAACAGATTAAAATGACACTAGCACTCTTGGCTACACCTTCTCTAAAATGACAGCTTTCTTTTAGAAAGCAAGCCATGCCTCACAGTGCAGGAAAAGTAACAGACCCTATTAGGTCATCTTGATAACCTGAACATCACGCCAGACTTCCCACTAACACACACTTTCCAGCCAAACTGGTTTGGAACAGGACAAGTAACAGTACTTCAACTGCTCCATATCATTTTAGTTCCCAAGGGCACGGCTGCCTTTCTGGCAAATATTGTTCAAATATTTTGGAGTGGAAGCTCTTGAACCAGGAGTGGTGGTTTTTCAAAAAAGCAAAAAGGTAATCTGATTGTAAACTGGATGTCAGTGCTGTAGCATTTTGTGTTGTAAGCATTATGATCTGCACAGGTAGTTATACATACAAACCAAGAGAGATTTTCTTTAAGACAGGAAAACAACAGCATGCCTATTCCATGTTTCCAGAAGTGCTTTATTTTTTGTCTTTATGCCTTCTCCTGCTTCTAACACACTCACCCTTCCAGACTATTAGCATTTTGCTCTAAAACAGCATTTCTTAAAATGCAAAACATCTATTACATTCTGTGCCCATTGCCCAGAGTATTAGAATCACTGAATCATTGATGATCATCAAGAAAAGAGGGCCAAAAAGAGATCTCTACAAATATTCTGAGATTAAAAGGATGATGGAGCTTTCTGCAGTTGGGCTTTTGATGCTGTGGATCCTGACATCTGAGAATCACTGAAAATTACTGTCCAAATTTTGCTTTGCTGTGACGAACCAGTCTTGTTTGAAGTCATCTGGGTCTAATCCAAGTAGTGAAATCACAGGAATTGTTCCACATAATTATTTCTTCTTCTTTGGCAATCGAAAGTCCCTGAAATTAATCTAGTCTAGGTCCATTTTCTTATTTGGTTCTGACATTTACACGTGTCACAGGTTACAGCATCAGGAAAGGCACTGGATGTTGTCTCAGGACTTTACCCTGAAGCAGCACAGCGCTGGCACCGTCTGTATTCCCATGGTTACATCGCCATCTCACGGCCCATCTCAAAAACACTCCTCCACTTCTGCTTTGCAGCTAAATAGAATAGCTTTTTATCTAGACAGAATTAATAGAAGCATTTCACGGCCATTTTCATGCTTTATTTTCACATGCAGGAAATAAACCCTGCATTATGTATGAATTCCTAAACTTCTGTTCAAATCCACTAGTGCAGTCTCCACAAACTAAGCAGAGTCCCACCAATGTCACCAGCATTCAGTATTATTAGATCCTAATTAAGTATCAGTGGTCATTTGCAAACTACTGAATACACAGACAATTCCAAAGGTTTCACCTACAATAAAACCTCATTTTGAAGGAAGGTGACTCTCATTTTAAGTAATGATACATATATATGGATCTAATATGAAATCTGTAGCTGTCGTAGCAGTAAAACATCACAGAATTCAACGTGAATACACTGTAACATACATGAAACCTCAAAAGTTAAAAAATTCAAATGTAAAGTATATAATCAACCCAGTTGACTTTCAAAGCTGCTTTATAGCTGAAGCTTAAAAAAAATATATAATATTCTTCAGAAATATTTTATAAAGCCCTTGTTGCACCTGAAACATCACTACTCTTCAATATTTGATCATAAATTTCCAAATAAAACCTTTCGTAAATTAGATTACAAAATGCTTTACAACTAGAAACAACTTCTGCTTGGAGATGACTACTACTAAAACTCAGCAACTAAAATAAAAGCCTTTCAGCAACAGGCTCCAGGAAATATAAGATATCCAACTAAAATACAAGGTGGAGACTTGGGAACCAGACTGTAATTACTCTGTCCTGAGTTTTCCTGGAATAACTGCACTAACACCTGAACTCTTATTAAAGAGTACTACAGGATGTTTAACAGCAGCAAGCAGCCAGAACCCGATTTGAAACAGGATTCAGAGGCAGTACTTCCAGGAATCCAAACTCAGTACACTTGGGAACTGATCTGTAACCACTAGAAGTGAAATGTTATTTACTGACTTAACAGCACTCTTTAAAGACAAGAGGGAAACCTGAGATAGGAAGGCTGGACAGCTGACTAACTAGAAAAGAAAGCTCAGGTCATGGCACCAGGATGGCTAAGTCATGCAGAGATCAGCCTGGGTTTGCCATCTGAATAGGTTTCTAAAGCCCAGAGTAGATCCATAAACTGCACTAGATGCTGTGTAGATCCAGGGCTAGCAGTACTAATTAAGTATAGGTACGCATATCTATTGAAAATGCCAGACATATACTAAGCATTCCAAGTTCTCAGTGACCTCTGTCATCAGGAGAGGATTTGTGAACCTATTCAACTTGATATACCACACATAAAAAAACTGTACCTCCCTTATATAGCAGATCAACTGCAGAACTGCAAGGAATATATCCAAGCAACAGCTGGGAATACCCACTTGGAGTGATCCAGGTCACTCAGTAGCCTTCACTGAACACCAACTAAATCTCTGCCACAGTACCTACATGGAGACATCCATATGTCTTAAACCTCAAAGTGAATCCCATCCCATATGACCTTGTATTTCACAGCATAAGCTCACTTCTGAGCAAGAGAACCAAAAAAAGCTTCCCATCAGAAAATTTATTTTCCTTTATTCCAAAAGGATTCTTTCAGGTTTCGTTAATCCAATAGTATGACGTGCTACCAGAAAAATAATAGCCTGTGAGACACCCACTAGACAGACCTAGTGTAATATGTGAATATTGCAATAGTTATTTAATATACTCTGCATATGATAGCTCTATCCAATGTAAAATGCTGCATAGGCACATGCTACAGAAATAATGCATATTGCCTTGTCATTATATGCAACACAGAATTTGAAAATTAAAGCAGACCAGGTGGAGGAGAAAGAATCTGAAAGTAAACAACGTAAGTTTCTATGTGTGGGGCTTGGGGTTGCTGTTTCATTCCCACACGATAAGCATTGTAAGAATAGCCAGGTTTTCCTGGACCTCAAAACCTACAACTTTTTCTTTATTTCCAACTTGCACTGTCTTCTGAAACTATGGTGAACAGAGAAAGATGTCATAGAATCATAGAATGGTTTGGGTTGGAAGGGACCTTAGAGATCATCCAGTTCCAACTCCCCAGTCACGGGCAGGGACACCTTCCACTAGACCAGGTTGCTCAAAGCCCCATCCAACCCGGCCCTGAACACTGCCAGGGATGGAGCAGACATAACTTCTCTGTGCAACCTATGCCAGTGCCTCACCACTCTCACAGGAAAGCGTTTTCATGCAGGATTGTCTGCATATCTGAGAATGATGAGAGCTATCCATGCCCCTGGGTACTCTTCATGCCACTGAAGCATTTAGAGCTCTATTAACAACCCGAAACAGTCTATGCTAAAACCCTAAGTTTTAAAAATTTAGTTGTAGGGAAAATGAGATAAAAATATAATAAAGACAGCCTAGGAAAGGTTGTACCCCAGTAGGTCGAACATGAAGGCCAATGTCCAGCTTTTGGCAGCGGCTAAGGTTCAACACCTAAAGAACTCCACTAGCCAGGGTAGCCAGCAGTGGCACTGTGTCAGCTCAAGTCTCAGGGCTTTCTAATTAACAGTTGTTAGTGGAGTGACTTCCATGCATTTATCCAGACATTTCTTGATCCCACATGAGTTTTCAGTATTTACAACTGTCCTGGGTTCAGCAGTAGCAGTCATTTTTCTCCTTCTTGGTAGCTGGTGCAGTGCAGTGTTTTGACTTTCGGCCTGGGAACAGAGCTGATAGCGATGTTTTGGTTTGGCCAAGGACTTTGTGAGTCTCATGCTCTGCCAGGGAGGAGGGGAAGCCAGGAGGAAGCAGAGACAGGACACCTGACCCAACCTGATCAAAGAGGTATTCCATACCACAGCACGTCATGCCTAGGATGTAACTGGGAGTGAGCCGGAAGGGCTGGGAGACTGCAGGGTTGGAGGAGGTATGGGTCGGTGCTTGGTCGGGCTGAGGGGGGCAAGTTATCGGTCGGCTGGTGCTGAGGTGTTGTATTCTGTTCCCTTGTTATTTCCTTTATCATTATTATCATTGGTGGTAGCAGTAGTGATTTGTGTTATACCTTAGTTACTAAACTGTTCTTATCTCAACCCGTGGGAGTTGCATTCTTTTCGATTCTCCTCTCTGTCCCTCCGGGAGCAGGGGGAGGGAAAGAAGGGGGGGAGTGAGTGAACGAGTTACCTGACTGGGTTTAAACCACGACAACAACACCCAACAGTACTGTGCTCTACAGTTATGCTGTTTTAATTACTTTGAAATTGCTCTTTATCTCCTTCATGTAGCACCCTCCAGCTATGTACTTGAAGAGACGGTGAAAAACTGCTCCCTGTTTACTTTCTCCTTATCACTCATGACTTGAGACATTCCCTCCCATGTTTTCAAGGCTCATTAGCCTTCTGTAGTAGTACTAAATGGCTAAAATTTAGAATAGCATCCACTACAGCCTACTAAGATTTCACTTCACTTTTCTGTTTTCCCACACCTATTTCATTAGCACAGATGAGAGTCTATAAGGCATTTTTCTTTCACTTTTACAATTACTTTTTTTTTTTGTTTTATTTTTGGTTTTGTTTCAGGAGAAAGTGGCACTCATATTAAGAACCTGAAAACAGTGGCTGCAGTGTCCTCCTGATTTCAGGATTACTCAAGACTTCAGAGTAAGCCCAAGCAACACTTTTTCGCCTGGCAAGTGAACTGTTGAAGAAGTCCACTACTGATACCAGACTTTATTCCACATCTAAGCCCACCCCGTGAAAAGCACCTGTGCAGCTGTAAATGGGGCTGTGCTGGGAACCGGAACAGTCAACTAGGTTAGGCAAACTAAAACAGAGCTGCTTTTCAATTTGGGTCACTTCCCCGGCACACTTTAAAGCTCAGCCTTGCTACAGCTGCTTCGGCATGACTGAGAAACTATTGAACAGCAGCACAGGATGGGAAGGAGCAGCCGAGCACAGGGACAAGGGCAGGAACAATTTAAAACATATTTCCCATCAAAGACAAAAGTAACGATTCCACACCCACATCAAAAATCCAGTCCTGACACTCACTTGAGCACCACCCTCACCTACCTCAGCCTATAGAAATCTATCAAGCATAAAACCGGTACTGGTAAACATTGCTCCCACAGTAATACATGATCACATGAGTTCTCTACTTTCTACTCCATCATCTCGCTCAGAGAACATTAAGCAGTCCTGTTTGTACTTGCTAAATGGCCACTGCAAGCCAAGTCGGAAATGCAGTTCCCAAATTACAGGCAGTTAAGGCAGGCTGAATAAACCTGACACAGAGTTTTGAACAGCTATTTTTGCAACGTATTCCACGGTGTATGAGGAGTGTGCAGCTTAAAGGATTGTACTGATAGAACTATTATCAAGGGCAACGTGCAAACTAGATCATACCAGTTTTGTTATGCAATAGTTGTGCTTTACTATTTAACTTTTTCATTTTGCATAGTCATTTTTAGCTCAGTAACTCCCCAGTCATTCTGAATTGCTGAAACACCCCCAAAACTAGGCAGAGATTTGTAAATAGTCTTTGATTCCACATCCCTTGAGACAGTGACTGGCTGCACAGCAGGGCATAATGAATTTCTGTGTATTTGCTTATAAAATAAACATAAGAACATTTCACTTAAAAAAAACAAACCTCCACAATATCTCTTTTTTTTATTAAAACCCCTCGCTTTTTAAATAACATTTGTATTTTAGAATCAAAACACAGACCTTAGAATAAAATAGGCATTTTTTTTTTTATATCTTTCCTTACAAAACCATACGCTACTGAAAATCTTGTGAGGTTTGCATAGTATCTTGGGTTTGTCGTGCGAGAAGGATCACCTCATCTCATGGTCCCTGTTTATTTCTGGGTTTGCTTCACCAAAGTAAACACAACTTTATTCACAGCTACCATAAGAAATTAAATCTGTAATTTGACAATGTTATACTCACATTCACTTCTGCCTCTATGGACCAGTCTCCCAGTGGAGGGTTCATTGATAACTGAAATTTTTTGGAAATTACACCCAAATCACCTTCCTCCATCAACCACTGCTGAATCAATTTCTTCCGAGGGTCCTAGGAGAAAAGTCAGGCTGCATGTTAAACATGGGTGGTCTTGCTAGCAAGACTTAGGTAGCAATACATCTGAACTTTATTCGTAACATAAAGTTGAAACATATGACAAATTCCAACGCATAACAAGATTTCTGTGGGTACTTACACGGATATATATATTCAGAGATGCTTTATAAGGTCTGAGATCAGGAAAGACGGTGACAATCCGAAACATCACTTCTTGCCCTGGTTTATAAATAGATTTATCGGTCTGGATGAATACGGAGATGCTCTTTGACATGTACATCAAGCTGGTACGGTTAGAGAAGATGCGCCGACCATCAGCATGGCCTTCCACCAGTAATTCATAATTCCCAGAAGGACTGTTTAAAGGCAGCTATAAAGAAAATAATGACTCTCTATTAAGTGTCCAAAATATACTTGAAGATACTATAATTCCAAAAGCATTTGACATAAAGATCTGAGATATTCCTGAACTTGTCAGGAGAACATATCATCCTCTCCTTTTTCTTTTCATAGTTCGTTAGAAATTTTATGGGGTTTATTTTGGGGTCTAATATTTTTCTGACTTCATCACTTTTTGGTAATGAATTTTCCAAAAATGAAAGAGCAGGACATAAGAAAAACTTGCACTTTTTTTCATAAGCTTTAGCTTCATGTCCTATGTAGTAAAAAAATAAAAGTTAGACTGAAGATCTCATGAGGTGAGGTTTTTCTGTTTTTCAATAGAAAACTCAGATTTCATCTCATTTCAGTTTAATAATTACGTAATTACAACACATGTTGCTATTCATCTAGAAAGTAAAAAAATTATTCTTCCCAAAATATTAAGGAACAAGGGAAGAGACATTTTGTATGGTTAGCTTATTTAGGATAGACACTGAAGTCTCCTTCAGTGCTGGCAGTAAACACAGACAGCTATCACTGGAAGGAAATTTAGACCACGTAAGATCAGAATGAGCACACAAAGGTCTCTCTCTGTCTCTCCAGTGGACAGAAAATTCTAGAGCTTGTAATTCAGATGCATCAGTTAATTTCTTAAAGTTAGGTGGGAGGAAACCCAGCCACAGGGGTCAAAAGTCTTGAAGCAGAGCTGCTGCAGCACAAGGGAATTTCAACTTCAGCAGAGACTGAATGACCCCAGGGACACCCCAGCCCAGATGCCAGCTTCTGTACCACCATCTGCTTAGGAGTGTCTCTTTGAAGAAGGAAAAGGGTTTTAACACAACACATAGCTCATTTCACCAAGCAGCTCTGCTAAAAAGCTTAAGCGTCACAGGCTTCTGTTTGCAATTACAACAGTAAATCTGGAGTAAAACCTCTGAATTCAAGACAACTAAAACAGACAGGGTTGCATTTTTCAGTATAACATATGGAAATGAAAAACTCCTCTTGCACTGGTAATGAAAATTACAGCTGTTAACTCACCAGGCACAGCACTTCAAAAGTATCCTGTCAAGGTCTATAATGAAAGGCTGTTGCGCTGTCAAAACTCATAATGAGTGCACAGTGAGGCAAAGGAAATTCCCAAATAGGGAAAAATGTCACAGGCTGATAAATGAGGTAGATGTAAAAGTCTGTATCGAATACGATTCTGTGTGGTTACCTATAAAGAAGAATCAACTACATTTCATCCCTCTCTGTTGAATTTCTGTTTTTAAAAACAAGACAGGAAAGAAACCATCAGAAAGAATTAAAATAAACAGGCTCTTTTTCACCCATGAGCAGGCATACAATGATACAGTAAGAAGAGATTCCCCATTTAAAATTTGGACTTATATAACTAAATTTTAGGTGCAAAGCTCCTCACTGAAACAGATTCTGCATTCTCTTTGACAGGATTTTGTATACACATTGCCAAGAACATATGATTCACATATTTCAACACTCCCCAGCTTCCATGCCAAGTATTCTGGAATATATTAAATAGGAAGAACAGCCTCAGTTACTGCATGTGTCAAATACTACCTCAAAATTAATTTATTTACAAATATTACCATTTATTAAAGATGGTGTATTCCCTAAAAAGCAGACAGGACTCCCTACGAGAAGTCCAGCAACCATTGTAAATATTCAAAATCAAAATGGGGGAAAAATAAGCTTGTTTTGTCTCATCATAGCAATGAATTGTACATTTGCACCATTATTTTAACATACCTGCAAGGACTGTCTTTGATATCTTCTACAGAAGTCTGTAAATGCTATGTAGAAACCTCATGCATTCTGCTGTATCTATTTCCTATCATAAATAATGATCAATAGCATGGGGTTGCTCCCTTCATTTTTATACTTTTTATATTTCAGAAGGTATTTCCTTACTGCAGCATAGTGACAAAACTGTGTGTTGCAGGTTTCTTGATATAAAAGCCAGGGACAATGAAGTTTGCATTGCCGCAGTAGTATATTAGGCTAGCTGAGGTGCAAAGTAACCCTTTTGGGTCACACATCTATGCTAACAGAAACTGCACTAATACAACACTTTCAGAAGATCACTGCTACAATCATGGTAACTATTTACTCCAGCCCCACCTACTATTTCTCTAAAGGGCCATTTCTCAACCCAAATATGAACAAGACATCTTTTAAACAGCAGGTAGTAGGAACATGCTGTGAAAACATTTTATCTTAGTCAGTACATCCCCCAAGTGAATGTTATTACTATCCCCATTTTGGCACTCCTAATGCAAGAGAGGAAGAGGCCATCTCATGTACGTCTCCTGACCACACCAGCCGCCATCACAAGCACCTCAGACAAGGGAGCTGCTGTTCCCTCTGGAAAAGATGACAGCTGAAACCAAAAACTGAAACCCACCTTCTGTTACCAGCCAACTACACTTTGATCAAAACATAAGTCTACCCTGACTACACAAATGAAACAAATCTTACTATTAAAAAAATGAATCATTTTTCATCACATCAGATAGTGGCAAGAGAAGGAGGAATTCACCTCATCTAGTCTTAGGTGCTTGAACACTTTTAAGACCTGGTAAGACTATATTAAAGAACTTGATAATTTAATCTTTTTTTTTATTTGAATTTTCTATGTTTGTTAATTTACAGTTCATACAGATGCATTTCAACCTGGTAGTCTTCATAATGGTGACCTGCTCATTGTCACTGATTAACAATATATCCAACATTTCCATATTATTTTATCAGATATAGTTTATTTGAGATCAAAATTTAAACCCATGGAATTGAAGGATACTTAGGGTTACAGGTGTTTCAGAAAATACTTTAGTAAAACTTTTTTCCTAACAGAAATACAAAATTCTTTAGATTGTGTTGTCAAAATGAACATCCCCAATTAGAAATTCAGGATTCATACTGATATTCATATTTGACATATTTGACTCACATTCAATATTTGACATTTTTCTTGATTAGTATACTATGTATACCCACTGAATGTGCATTTCTAAGTCCTTAAGAAGATTGTGTATAAACACATTTCTTTTTAAATATTTCTCAATCACTGCCCTGCACAATTCTTTCAGCTCTAATTAGCCCTTATGGTGCATCTGAAATAGACATGTAGGTACCGGCCAGTCAAAAAAGAAAAAAACAAAGCAAAGTTCTGTGTTGAGGTTCTATGATAGCAAAATGCTGATGCTGCAAGTCACCTCCAAAATCCTGTAATTACTTATAAGAAGCTGCAAAGCACTTGATCTGAAAACTCCTTGGTTTACTGGTCAGTAAATACACTCATCTGAGAATGTGAAAATTGCTAGGATCACACACAAAATACATCATCTTATCAACACCAACTGATGAAAAGTTACAGAGTCAACATTTTCTGAGGAAGGAGGAAAGAAATACTTACTACTGGAAGAACGAGAGTCCCAAAGGAATCTGAATAAAAAAGAATAAATAGCACATTGTCAGAAACCTTATGAAAACTTGGCAAAACATCAACAGGTTAATTAGAAGAGCAGTGGTCCTCTCCCATTCCTATGTGCCTGTAAAACTCACTGGACAACCAAATTCCCTTGATGCAGCTGATTAATGCCCAGACAGTGTTTGGCAGCAAACTAAAAAATATACAGCCTGAAGCAACTGCTGCATTAGTCAGTATTGGCACACTGCATTTATACTTCATTCAGCATCTCATTCACCACATTTATTCTTCCCAAGTCCTGTTAAGGCTACTGTCAGCCACCATTAGGTTATGGGATAAGCAGCTCATCTCCACAGATACATGAAGGAGCATGAAGGAAGGATGGCAGGTGCGGGTCCCCAAAACACCCAGCCCCATCCCAGGGGAGTACTCAGCCTGTCACACATCCATTACCCCAAGCCCAGAAGCACACCAGCAGGGGGGAATCCCAGTACCCCAGTCAGACACACAATCCCACCACCACCAGGCTATTAGATTCAGCAACAACCTAAAAATCACTACCATCCCAAATCTGCTAAGAACCACCCAGAACAGCCCAGAAAAACTGAAATGCAGTGCTCCGCTTAATGGTCTGAGGGTACCAATAATGTCCCTGATGGGAACTACCTGAACAAGGACAGTATGGCTTGGTACTGCTGTCCTTGAGAACAACTCCCCTCTTAAATGCCACTGCCCTACAACAAAAGCATCCACCTGCCTCTGCAAAGAAGTTGATTTTGCAACTCCTTCATGTGTAAAAGAAACCCAGGATATTTTGTATTAATCTCCTCTGCAGTTCAGTAGGTGACTACTTTTTGCAGTCATTTTTATCAAGATTAACAACTTTTATAGAATGAATAAAAGAAATACTTTAAACCCCATGTTATAAAAGAAAGGCAAAATGGAAAAAAAAAATTAATCATGGCCATTCCCTCTAGCAGTACCTCCTACCTGGTCGTTTCACTGCTATGAAACAAAGTCAGCATTGTGGCAATATGGCTATGCTCAACCATTACCTCTACAACAACCTAAAGCTGCTTCTCCATTGGGCACCAACCCTCAGCTCCAGCAACCACTCCAACCCTTCCTCCCTTACACGGTTGATGGAACATGTAAAGAGTTGCAAAAGTATGAAAACCAATCTACAGCAACATTACTTCTCTGTCTGGTGATGGCTGATGTTCAGGTTATCCACTTGAACATTTTTGTTCTACATTCACATAAACTGAAACACCTTTACCGTCTATTCAGTCCTCTGCTCCACACAAATTATTGTTTTCCACTGATTCTGCAGGATCAGATAAAGGCTGAAATTTTCAAAACCATGCACAGGATTTACCACCCTTAAGCAAAGGAGCACTCAGTATTAGCCATCCTCATTTCACTACATCACCATAAGAATTCGTTACCAATATATTAATGTATGTGGGTTAATAGAACTTAATATTTTAACTATTTTAGATAATGGGTCAGCAGATATTTATAGAATCCAAATAAATGTACTGTTAAGATCCTGGATATCATTACATCATGGAGCCATTAGTGCCACAGCTTTTATTTAATTATGTAATGTAGAGTAGCATAAAGTAGTATAGAATATAGAAATGTAGAGTAGCATAGTGCAGAACAGAACAGAACAAAACAGATAATTTCAGTTGGAAGGGACCTACAATGACCATCTAGTCCAACTGCCTGACAGCTTCAGAGCTGACTGGGAGTTAAAGCTTGTTACAAAGGGCACTGCCCAAATGCCTCTTCAAGACTGACAGCCTTGGGGCACTGACCACCTCTCTAAGAAGCCTATTCCAGTGTTTGACTGCCCTCTCTCTGAAGAACAGCTTCCTAATATCCAGTCTGAAACTCCCCTGCTGCAGCTTTGAATCGTTCCCATGCATCCTATCACTAGGTAGGAGAGAGAACAGATTAGCACCTCCCTCTCCACTTCCCCTCCTCAGAAGCTGTAGAGAGCTGAGGTCACCCCTCAGCCTCCTTCTCTCCAAACCAGACAAACCCAAAGGCCTCAGCTGCTCCTCATAGGACATCCCTTTCAGACTTGTCACCAGCTTTGTTGCCCTCCTCTGGATACATTGGGGGGTACCTCCGCATCCTTCTTAAATTGTGCAGCCCAGAACTGCACGCAGTACTCAAGGTGAGGCTGCACCAATGTAAATACACCAGGACAACCACTCCCTTGACCAGCTGGCTAGTGTTTGATGCACCCCAGGATGTGGTTATCCCTCTTGGCTGCCAGGGCACACTGCTGATTCAAACTGACCCATGTCTGCCTTGCTAATTGCATTAAGTCACACCTTTTTATATCTCCTAAAGAGCAATGAGTTTATACCTATCTATCTTATACCTACCTATACCTACTCATTTGTTTCATGGAGTAAGAAAAAAAATAGATACTTCATTTATGTCCTTCTTGATTCTGGACATAAAAGCATTTCAAGATGAAGCAATCACTGACCTTTGAAGTCCAATAAATACTAATTTTAAAAGTCAAAGATTTCTTTCGTCTGACAGTGACAAACAGAAGTCTCTATGGACTGAACATGGGTTGTCCTAGCCACTGCTAGAGCACTAACTTAAAAATCCCATCCAGCACGTACCACCTATTCAAATTATAACCTGGGTTAAACCAAATGACTCACATCCGACAAATGAAGTCTGTGGGTAGCACACTCCAGTACTTCATCCTTGTACTCAAAAGTCTAATGGGGATGGGTGGCATCAGCCCTAAGCAACACAGTTCTTTCCACAACATGTTTATGCTACCGTTAAAACTACAGTTTTTTTCCTATCATCCTTCTCTCCACTCGAGAAGCAGTCCATGCAGTCATTGACTGAGCAATACCACCAGCCTGTCAGGTTTTTCAAACAGGAGTCTCAGACAAAACACACACTTTTCTCAGTAGGCAGCAGAGAGGGCACCCTGCCCCACTGCATGTTGGGAAGGAGACCCACGCTCAGCCAAGCTTGCTTAGCACACAGGGTTACAGGACAACTTCCAGCTACAGGAGAGGAATTATATAGTCCTGCCCAGCACCTGATTTGTAGGCAATGTAAATCCCTCCAGACTCACTGATGTATTTATTCCCATCTACCCAAACAACTCCATGACCAAACAACTGGACTAAAAGAGACATCATTTTAGCTAAAGGAAAACTTACATCTTCCTAACTCAGAAGAGGCAGAGTTACTGTTAACTAGGAAGTTTGGTTGTTTGTTTTTTTTTGTAAGAGATTATGATATTTCACTTGTAAAAGAGGCTGGATGTAGGGCAACTATCAGCAACAACACAAAACTACCTCCCGAAATTTCTCTCAATTGTATAATAAAAGCCTAACCCTTCTCTAGTTCCCGTCCCGCTGCAAAATAAGGCTGTGCTGAAACTGGGTTCTGTATGATCACAAGCCATGAGACTGAGTCACCAGGAAAAAAAAACTTCATCACTGCTGAAAGAAACAGGAACTTACTTTTATTTCTCTCGTGTCTAAGCATATATGCACATGGTAAGTATTGCTACGATAGCCTGAATCTATCCGACACAGCTGACTGCAGCAATAGCTATAGCAATGCCTTCAGGAAACTGGGAAACACTAAGCACAAATCTGATATTCATCCCATAGCCCACATCACAAGGCTTCTATTTCCATCTTTACCTACACCAGGGCAAACACGCTAGTATACACTCAGTGCAACGGCAGAGCACCTAGCCCTTGCACTGCGGAGGACTACCACACATTGCTCTATGCAGCACCTAATGGCTTCCAAAGCAACCTTTCACATAACATGGAAGGTACTTACTTGGCAGTTTTCTCACCAGAGCAGTGCCTGCTTGTCTCCACCTATTTTGAGAGCAACTAGCATGCAAATGACAGAAACATTAGGGTGGTAATCCTGGGTTTCTTCCATGTTCCCAAGCCTGGGAGATGTAACATCATGTCTGAGCCAGACACAGTCATGATGCAGAGGGGGAAGTGGTTGGGTAGAAGGGAGATTTAAATCACAGTAGCTTCGCCTTTGTGCAACTCAGAAAGTATTTACCTTCTGAAGCAGTGTTAGGGAGCTACAGTCTCCCTGGCTGCCTTGATAAAGCTCAGAGCACCATCTCATTCCCAGCCAGTGAAAATCATAAAAGAGGCTCCAGGGCATGAGGTAATGTTCAAATTCATGTCATTACATAATTATTTTGTTAGTAACTGAGCAGCCTGGGCAGATTCAAAACTCTTTGGCATTGTGGTGAACTTCCCTGTCATGCAAGATTTTCCCATGTTCTCAGAGACTACCAAGGTGCAATCAATTCCCTGGAGCTCGGCTCAGCAACACACAGAGATGGCTTTGGGTGTGCTCAAGCAAGAGCTGTAGGCAAAATCTTTCCTTTATGCCTATCATGATTTAAGCCCAGCTGATAACGCAGCACCAGGCAGCCGCTCACTCACCCCCTGCCCTTTCCCCCTCCTGAACAGGATGAGGAGGAGAATCAAAAGAATGTAAACCCCACGGGGTGAGAGGAGAACAGTTTAATAACTTACAATAACAATAATATACTACTACTGATGATGATGATGATAAGGGAAATAAAAAGGGGATAAAATATAAAACTAAAAGGGGAAAAAAAAACAATAAACACAAGTGATGCACAACACAATTGCTCCCCACCCGCCAACCGATACCCAGCCTGACCTGAGGAGCAATCTGGGCCTTCCAGGTAACTGTCCCCAGTTTATATACTGGGCATGACATTCTGTGGTATGGAATACCTCTCTAGCTAGTTTGGGTCAGGTGTCCTGTCTCTGCTTCCTCACAGCTTTTCATGCCCCTCCTCACTGGCAGAGTATGACGCACTGAAAAGTTCATGATCGGAGTAAGCATTACTGAGCAACAGCTAAAACACTGGTTTGTTAACAGCACTGCTCTCAGGCTAAAGCTGAAACACAGCACTGCACCAGCTACTAGGAAGAAAATTAAC